CATGGGGAGGGTTGCTGTGAAATGGTGGCCGTGCCTGGCCCTAGCAGGACCAGGACTGGGGACCAAAGCCATGCTGGCAACAGCAGTGTTTTGGTGGATATTTTGGGGGTGCTGTGAAGCAGGGAGTGAGAAAGGACTGGGAGAGGGCGCGGGTGCCTCAGTTGCAAGGTGCATGGTCCAGCGGTTAATGCTGGGATGCTCTGTGGGCAGCGAGGGAGGTTTCAGCACAGGGCTCTGGTGTGGTCTCTGGTCCTCTGCCACAGCCCAGCACATCTTGGGGAAGGCAGGAGCAGTCGTATTCTGGAGGTTTGCAAGTTTGGAAAATAAATAGCCCTGCGCCGCAGGTTAAGCTTGGCATCCTGGCGGATTAATCACACTGGCTGCAGCCAGCACTGAGAGCCCCGGTGACGAGAGCTGTGGTTTATAGATGATGATTCATCGACTTAGAGCGACCACGTTATTCCAGCAGATTGCAAAATCATAAGAGGAATGTTGTGGTTAGTTTACGGCTTAACTATGCAAATCGTCAGGAAGCCTTCAGAGCTGGAGAATGTAAGGCACAGCGCGCCCGGATGGCTGGGCGGTGAGCAGGGGCCGGGAGCCGGCGATGGGGCTGTCGGGGACCGGTCGCTCGCGGGAGCCGGGGAGCGGGGAGGTGAGTGATTTGGGGGGAGATGAGGGTCCGGAGCTCGCGGTGAGCATGCGAGAAGGGTGCTTCGGAGGCAAGGGACGCGCCGCTGGTCGGGAAGAGGTTTCTGGCTGGTTTCACCGTCTCTGTGCCAAGGCGGCAGGCGTCTCCGGCGGGGCTGGGGAGGGTGAAGGTGGGGAGCTGCTTCCCCCACCTCCTCCTGCCCTCTCGTCCTGCTTCCAGAAGCAGGCAGTGCCTCAGCGGAGGAAGTAAACAGAGTGGGAGGAGCTGCACCTCTTCCTTGCCGGGGCTTTCTCCCAGTCAGACCCGCTGCCGGGATGTGCGGCGAGTTGGTTGGTTCTCAGCAGAGCCAGTGTTTTGGTGGCCGGGACCTACCTGGAAGCCAGCGTCCTCCAAAAGCACACTCGGAGCATGTGAAATCCCCGTGACGTGCCGGCCCGATGGCGCTGGCTGGGCAGGGTGAGCCGTGTCGCTCCGGAGGGGAGCCGGGCGCGGGGGCAAGCACGCGTGCTGGCCCGCGAGCCCTGGTGAGGGGGTGGCTGGCGGCACAGGCGGCGATCCTGGGAGGGCTGGCAGCACTCTGCTCCTCTCCAGCTGCTCCAGGGCCAGTGGGAAATTAGGGTAGAGGTGAGCAGATGTTTGTAATTATGAAGCAGCTCACGCCGGAGCATGGGGAGGGCGCGGGGAAGGAGGCTGCCCGTCCCCGTGGACTCGGAGCAGGATCGGCCTCTCTCGCTCGCGCGTCCCGCATGCGATTTTTGTCTTGTGGCCTTTTTAAATAAACAGGATGTGTCGGCAGCAAAAACAAGCAGCAGCGATGCTGAGGAGGAAGGGCGGTCCGGCGGTTAGAGCGTCTGACCTGGGAGGGAGGGACAGGAGGGACAGCCCTGCCCTCTGCCACAGGCATCTTCCCCGGCCTCAGGCATGTCCCTTCGCCTTCTTGTGCAAGGTGGGGAGCACGTACCTGCTTTGCCTCTGGGAGGTAGGGTGCCTCATCCCCAAGGGGACAGGGAAGTAGGTGGAGAGAGGTTTAAGCTTGCGCGGGAGCAGAGCAATTTTGGCACTGGCCTTTGGCTTGTCCACTAAGAGCAGACCCACCTGCCAGTCCACCTCTAACCGGGGCAGCGTGAATCAGAGGGAAACATCGGCTGGTAATTGGGGAAGCATTTCCTGGCCTGTCACGCTTTGGGATGGCGTCCCGTCCCTTGAATCATCCAGAGCTGGTCTGTGTCCAGTGCTAAGAATAGCCTCCCCGTGCACCGCGGGGGCAGCTGTGTGCCGGGAGTGGGGGGCCGGCTGGCTCGTGGCTTCCCAGTGCTGTGCCACGCCAGCTCCAGTGTCTACTGGGCTGAGGTTTGGGCTAGAGCGCGGAGCGTGGATGGGCTGGGGCGGCTGCCGTGGCTGGTGCCCAGGAGGGCGTCCCACCTCCTTTCTCCACGTGCCATTTCTAGCTGAGCTCTCACATGGTTTCGTTTGGGAGCCAGGGCTCTGGGTGCTTTGATCAGCCCCGCAGCCTCCAGCCCAGCACCTACCCCCGGGTGGGATGTAAGGTGGCATTCGTGAGCGTGGCCATCCCCCGAGGTGCTTCCCGGGGTGTTTGGGGCTGCCCCACCGTTCAGCTGAGCCTTAGCACAGGAAATAGGCCATCGCCCCATGCTTGCCAGGGTTCAAAGCAGCATTTGGCCAGGGACCACCTTCAGATGAAGACATGAACGCAGCCACAGGTGGAGCTGGGGACAGTTTTTCGCCCCCATGGCCTCATGGTGACGATGCTACCCAATTTATGTCTTTCAGCCCAGCAGGAGAGGGCTGGCAGGTGACAGCCATCCTGCCCCGTCCTGCTGTGCACAGGGTGCTGCACCCACCTCCCTCTCGCTCCTGGCATCGGGCACTGGGCTGTGACCAGAGCAGGGCAATCACTAGAGGGCATCGTTGGATCAAGATGCTCCTCTGTGGTGGGAGAAGCCCTAATTTGATGCTTTACTAAGCTGAGCTTGAAACCTCGGGGAGGAGAGGGCTGCACAGTGGCCCACTGAAGCCAGGCCAGCGGGGTTTGCGCGTCCTTGTCACGCCGGAGTTCAGCAAACACTTTTCCAGGGCAGCACCTGCGTTTCAGCGTGAGCCTCTGCGGCCGCTCGCACCCCTCCCTGCCTTTCCACCCCTGCTTTTGCAGGCTGGCACAGGGAGCTCGTTGGCATCGCCGCCATCCCAGCCTGTGGGGAAGAGCTGCGTTAGCTCCTTGGGGTGACAGCCCCCTGGTTCAAATGAGCGTGAAGATAAGATGAGGGGATGCTGAAGCTTCCCTTGGGAGCCCACGGCAGCCTGATGTTGGGGCAGGGACTCATTTGGTTTATGGCTGGAGGAGAACTGGGTTTGCAGCCCGGGGAGCTGGGATCTCCCCATCCCTCAAAAGAAAATATTCACGACGGGGTGGTAGAAATACTGCAAAACTCAACTGGACTCCCTTCCCTTCCCGAAACACTTCATGAAGGGAGCACGGGTGGGTGGTGATGACCAGGGCTGGCAGCCTGCCCTGCTTCCTGCCCGGCCCTCGAAGGTCACAGCCTGCACCTCGTGGGTATTTGCTGGGGCTGAACCCACGCTCAGGATTCACCGCGGTGTGACTCAGGGAGTCAGAGAGTTCAGGGCAGCGCTGGGGAAACGTGCATGACAGATGCCCCTTGCTCTTCTGTCACCAGCACGGGCTTACCTGCCTCCTGGTCCCAGCAGCCTTGCTGGCTGCCCCCCTCCTTCTCCCGGGGCTTGGGGGCCAGCGAGGACGCTGCCTGGCACTCTGGGCACAGAGCTGTTCTGTGGCCAGTTGCTGCAGGAGACGGCCCGTTCCCCAAGCCTTAGAGATTTATGGACTTTGGAAAATCTTAAGCGACCGAGTATTCATCCCAGCTGTTTCCTGGATCTTCCCAGCCTTGCGTCCCACAGAGCCGTTCCTGGGGGTGCGAGGGGGGTGTGAGCTGATGTGTTATGGGTGTGTTGGGCACGTGTGCTGGCATGGCAGTGCCGAGCGGGGGTCCTGGGGGCACAGCTGCCTCCCCCCACGCAAGGAGGAACTGAAAGTCTGCGGGGTTTCAGTGGTAGCAGTGCCTGTGTTTTAAGGGCCTGTGTTGAACCGGGGCCTGAAAGAATCAGCAGCTTTCTTGTTAAACTGCTCCAAAGCCCGTTTCGACAGCTCCACGCTTCCCATTTTAGCACCAGCCCGCGGGGGCAGAGGGTTTAGCTCGCACCCAGCGCCGCTGCTGCGGGGACACCTGTGTTGGAGGCAGCTTCCCAGTTGCTGCAGATCAGGGACGGGCCAGTCCCACTGACTTGAGGGATGCGGGGACAACTCAACCACGCTTGCTAGATGGCCGCATGCCAGCCAGGTCAGGCCACCTAGGATCATACTTTATGCTGATAAATCCACTTTAAGGCAATTTCCCTCCGTTACATCACTGAACCCTTTCCCGAGGGGTGGTGGAAGCCCTGCAGCTTGGGCAGGGGCCGGGCGAGCCCGGGTGGGTTTCCTGGAGCAAGCAGCTTTGCATTAGCCAGGAGCAGGATGGTTTAATAAGTCATTTCCGTCTCTAATTTCTATTTCTCTATGAAAAGCCTCTCGTTTGCCGGTCGCCAGAGGGAAGGGAGGTCAGGGGAACCAGGCCTCCCCAGCATCCTCCTTCCTGCAGCTGTTGAAACAAAATCCAGAACCATTATAATCGCTGTGACCCTCCCTCGGGTACCGCCGGCGCCTTCGGTCCGAGCAGCGGTTGGGGCGGTTGGGTGCCAGGCGGTTCAGAGCGGGCAGGGAGCCGGGCATCTTCCCTTCTCAGTGATCGGGGGCCCATAAACTTTGCCCGAGGGCCATGACGGATGCTTAGGAAAAAAGATCATAGCATTGGTTTCGCGGAGCCTCGAGGCATGTCTGGTGCCCCCGTCTCATTCCTGCTCCAGCAAAATGCATCCCACGGGCTGCAAATCGATGTTGCTACGCCGTCATCTGCAGGGAGCAGGGGGGTGGTTGTCACCTCCCTGCCTTCCCCCCGCCTTGGGTCCCCTGCTGCCTGCAGCATGGCCTGACCCCGGGGGGAGCTATCGGGGCCGTCCCGCTGCCTGGAACGGGAGCTGGAGCGCGGCTGCTGTGCCTGATCCTAAACCACCTCTGCTCTCCCCGGAAAGCTTTCAGCTCCCCAGCCTCTGTAAGCGCCCTGCCTGTACCCTCTGCCTTGCAGCACTTTTTCCTCTTGGCCGCTCGCCCCCCAGCATTGTTTGGCTGCATTTGTTTAGGTTGGCCCAGGTGCTGCGATGTATCCGCCTCAGCACTGAGGGATTGTTTTGTTTTACGTCCCTTGTTTTGCAGCAGCAGCAGCAAATGCCCCGGAGCAGCCAAGAAGAGAAAGATGAAAAAGAGAAAGAAAAGGAGAAGGAGGGAGAGAAGGAGGAAGACAAGCAGGAAACAGAAAACGACAAAGAAGAACTGACAAAGTAAGGACAACCCTCCCTGCCTGGATGGGCATCAGGCCGGGGATGCGGCGGTGGGGTACGGCATGATGCAGGGCTGCCTGGCCCCATGCAGGACCATGTGCACCCACTTCACCTCCTCCACGGGGAAGGAAGGGCAGAGCTTGCTCTCCTCTTCATTCCTCCCCCGTGCTGCTGCCAAACTGGGAAAGCAACTCTGATACGTGCTTTTTTTTATATATATAAACCCAATTGACCCGCAAAGCCCCTCTGATCCGCCAGCTTGTTTTGTTGTTGTGAGAGCCTCTGGGGGTTGGAGCAGCAATCCGGGTGCAGCCAAGCACGGCACTTCACCTTTAGTGTTATTGATGTCAACGTGAGCACTCCCAGATGAAGGGCTTCAGCCAGCTCTGCCTCCCTCACACCGAACGGGGAGCATCAGAGCCGTGGCGGGGAAAGGTTGGCACGCAGACCGTTAGCTATCTGTAATGGGCTTAATACTTGGTTTAAAAGAACATCTGGCTTCATTATATCTAGGCTGCGAAGACATTTACCAGCAGGTCCCTTTCAGGAAGATAAATGAGGAGGAGGCAGGGATGAATTTGAATGGTCTGGCATTAAACCTGTCTCCGTCAGGTCTCTGCGTGCACTTGGTGCTGGAGCTGCAGCCAGCTGCAGAAAGAAAACCCCGCTGCAAATCACCCCACTGCCAATCCAGCCCACTCCCAGCCAGGAAAAGAGCCTGCGTGTGCAAAAAAAAATGCAGACCTGCCCCCCCGAAAGGCCAACAAAGAGAAAACCAGCATCCCCAAACACGTGCAGAGGAATAATTGCTTGACCTAAAAATCAGACCAACCCAACAATGTTTTTATTTCCCTCCCTGTTTTTTGCAGAGACAAGAACGACGACACGTCTGGAGAAGACAACGATGAGAAAGAAACTGTCACCTCCAAAGGTCGCAAAACTGCCAACAGCCAGGGCAGGCGCAAAGGCCGCATCACCCGCTCCATGGCGAACGAAGCCAACAACGAGGAGGCGGCCGCCCCGCAGCAGAGCGCGGAGCTGGGTGGGTAGCAGCGCGCACGGGGCCGGGGGGGCCTTGGCAGGACTTTGGGGTGTCTGCTCTGATGGGATGGGCCATCACCCTGCGCCACTCCCCGCTCACAGAGGAGGGGTTTCTTTCATGAAATCCTCGTTTTCAAGGGGCAGCAGTGAGGTTTCTCCTGCCCACAAATTCCCCAGCACCGTTCACCCAGATACAAAGTGGAGGTATTTGCGAGCCTGGGCTGCCCTGGCTGAGTGTTAGTGTTGTTTTACAGCCTCGGAGGGAAAGTATTGCAAAAGACAAAAAGGGAAGCTGTCATTTTCAGCAGCATGTTGGCTGGGTTCGTGAAGGGCTCGTGTCCCTCCTGCACCCGGAGGTGTGTTTCCCTCTGCGGCAGCTCGGGCTTCAAGTACCCTTGACCTCTGCACGGGAGCCTGCTCTGCCCTCCTGGGCTTGCCTGGATCTCTGCCAGTTCTCCTGCCCTCGCTGTTTTCAGAATTGCCTGGAGCCCAAGCAGCTGCAGCCCACGGGGTCTGTGACCCCCTTGGCCTCCGGGAATCAGGCTGGTCCCTTCCTTATCGCTGCAGCTGAAGGACGTGGCAAGGAGGCAGCAGCTTACAGCTGCTCGGGACCTTCCACCCTGGCTGCAGTCTTGGCTGTGCACCCCAGATCAGGGTTGTTTTGCCCAAAAAGCAGCATTTCCCATGCTGGTCTCCAGCACCCTTGCTCCTCTCCCCCCTCGGGAGCCGGCCAGGCGCAGTGGTCAGTATTTTCCTTCCCGTCCTGCCTGCACAAGGCTGCAGCGGGAAGAGGCTGGGAGCAGCTTCGGAGCGAGGTGGCCGAGGCAAAGCGTGCTGCCCGTAACAGGGCACCCAGGCGCGGCGCCGGCCGGGGCCGCGCGATGCCGATTCACCTGTCTCGGGCTGGACGGGAATTCACGGCAGCGTCCACAGCCCCGCGTCGGGCGCATCTGCCTCTCGCACCCGCAGCATCAGTACTGGCCACCCTGGGAAACTGCTCGGGTGTTGCCTTAAACAAGCCAATGCCTCAAGGAATTTGGCTGGTTTTTCCTCTATTTTCTACTCTATCAAGTACAAAATTATTACTGTGCTACCTAGGGCGGGTAAAAAAAAAAGCAGGGTGACTCCTCTCGGTTTCCTTGCTCTGCAGTTTCTTGCTTGTGCTGTTCCACATGCTTTAAATCACCCAGAGGTGTTTTGCCTCCCTGTTCCTCTGCTGACAACTGGCTGAAGCCTTGATTGCAAGCAGTCTGTTTTCGTATAAGCGATATAAATAGTTCCTGCTACAACGGAGCCCTGCTCTCCCTCTCAAACTTGTTAAACAGTACTGCAAAGAAGCAGCAGATAATGGCAGTAACTTAAGTGGGATTTTTTTTTTTTTTATCCCAGCATCTGAGTCCTTGATAAATTTCACAGCGAACACAGAGAAAAGGCTTTAGCCCATGTTAAATTGGGAAAAAGGAATGGATCGATTCCAGTGACATATCTGAGCAATTGGTTTCACTTTATGTCTCTCCAATAGTGCTTTAATTTAGGTTGGCTAAGAAAGTTATTGCATTTTAAATACCAATTGAACATTAAAAAACAACACAAAACCGTATTGTGGTTTAACTGCAGCGTGCCGGAGCTCCCCATAGGCATCTGTTTCATAACTGCACAACCTCAGTAAATACCATTAATCAAAGCAAATGGGCCGTTTCTTTGACATTTCTTTACCATACAATAACAGTCATCCTCAAGCTGAGTGAAGGGCCTTGCACAGTGGTCAGGGAGACTCGCTCTTACGTAAAGGAGCGTGGTGGCCCTGGCTCTGCCCGTAGCCAGGGGAAGTGGCGAGGTATCGATTTCCCTCCCTCTTGGCCAGCATCCCGGGGGGGGGGACGGCGTTTCTGGGGGAGGCAGTGACCTGCGCTGACTTCCAGGAGGTGGCACCTGCAGTCGTGCTCAGCTGGCTGCAAAGGAGATTCCCCTGCCCGATGCCGTGGGCATCGGAGCCCGCGTTGTCCTCCCACGGGGTCTCAGCTTCTTGTAGAGCCTCTTGGAAGATGCTTCCTTCTCTCCTCGCCCGTATCCTTTATCCTGAACCTATCAGCCTGTTTTCCATTTTGAAAGGACACTGTCAAAACATCTCTCATCACTGTTGAAATAATGCTTTGCCTGTTGTTCAGAGTAATAACCCCTTGGCAGCCTGAGCCGGAAATCTGTTTCCTTAGCGAGTTGTTTTTTGCCTCTGACTCACACCCTGGTTTGTTATTGTAGGGTTTGCTCTAGTGCCAGGCTGCCAGTAGGACTGTTGCATAGTGAAGGCTTTATGCAGGACCCCGGTGTCCCTGGTACCGTGGCCAGAGTGGAGGAGAGGGTGAGCATCAGGTGCTGACACTCCTCTCTGTCTCTCCTGGCTGGAGCAGCACATCCCCCTGTGATGGGTGCTGCTCCAAGTGAGCCCTGACATTGCTGGAAGTAGCTCTGAGATGTCTGAGAGCCCGATGATGGCACCGAGGGAGCCCGCAGCCAAGCCCGGCCAACTCCCTTGACGAATGCAGTTGGCCAAAGTCACCGCCAAGGTGACGCTGTTTCTCCGTCTCCGCCGCGGGTGACGGTCCCACCCTGTGTCTGCCACCTCCAAAGCACACAGCCAACGTCGGCTCCATCTTAGGTACCTGTTGTTGGCGGGCCAGAGTGCGTGGCACCAAATCAGCAGGAAATCTGCTGCCACCCTCAAGCCATCTGCCTTCGCTTCCAGTCCCAAAGTAGAGGTTTTGCATCACCGAGGAGCATCCCGGGGGTGATGCTGGGCACGGGTTACGGTGGTGTGGAAAAGCCTTGAGAGCCCACACTGCCACAGCCCTCCCTGCAGAAGCATTTTTGCAGTGCACGGCATTTTGTCTTGCCTCTGGGGAACAGGGCGCAGGACGGGGTTTGGGCTTTTGGGCATCTCCTCTAAGCTTGCCGGGTTTGCTGTGTCCCACTTGCAGCTGACTGCTCTCCTTTCCTTCCCCTTCCTCAGCTTCTCTGGAGATGAATGAAAGCTCTCGCTGGACCGAAGAGGAGATGGAGACGGCTAAAAAAGGTGAGCCGCTCGTTTTCTTCCTCCTGCCAGCTCTGCTGGAGTTAACCCAGCAGTCGAGGATGGACGGCATCTCACTGCTGGAGTTCAGCGTAGGGTGGTGGGCCCTGAGCTCTAGGGCCAGGTTCTGCCCATCCCGCTGCTAGTTTGTTCCCAGCAAATCCTGGCTGGGGTTTTAGGGGAGGTAGGCAGTGGCAAGGGGGGGCATGCTCAGCCCCTCCAGCCCCGGGAGCTGTGCCAGCACCAGGGATGTCTGGGCTGCAGCCAGAGCCCAGACATGTCCCACAAGGCAGGAGCTGGCCGTAGGAGCAGGGGAAGGCACTCTGCCTTTTGCTTTTTGCAGCTTCTGGTGCCTGGAGCATGAGGTGCAGCTTCACCCTGCTCTCTGGAGGTTCGTGCTATCGGCACGATCTGTTCCAGACAGGCCGAGAGCACCTGCCTGCATTCACAGCTCTGGGATTTAGGGAGAGGATGGTGAACCCCAGTGCTCTGCAGCCACGTGTCAGGGAGCTCACAAGAGCCGGGGCTGCGGGCGACGTGGTGTGAGTTTATATCCTGGAGCCGATTCAGAGCCTCTGCTGAGACCATTTTTAAAAAGTGCTGAGTGTAGCACAGCCCTTCTTGCCACTTCCCCTCCTCGTGCCACTCCTGCACCAGCTCTTTCGCTGCTTTAATTTTCTGCCAAAGTCACGTCCTGTTGATGGGCTGTCGAGCTCACATCCCCAGCCCGTGCATCCCGCTTGCATTGCTGCTGACTCTCCTGGCCCGGTGAGGATTGTAAATGGGAAATTAAAATGGAAATGAGTACCGTTTGGGGATGGCAAACGCAAACAGACGTGTTAGCGGGTTCGACTCTGCTTGGAAAATGCACCTGCTGCCGGGATGGTGATTACATGTTCTGGAGCGCCGGCTGCCCAGGTGCCGATGGGAGCTGTGGACTTGGATTACTTTGCCTGTGAATATCCCAAAGTGTTTGGCTCGCTCGCCTCTAAGCTGTTCCAACCCTCTTTACAACCCAGTGCCAATCCTGTGCGTTGCTGAGCGGGGCTCTCTATAGACGCAAAACTTAATAGATAGACTTTAATCAAGCAAACTGGCCCGGGGCCAGGTAATGGGGCAAGCAGGTGCTGAGCAGGGGAGGGTCGTTGGAGGGATCTTTTCCGAGCTCTGCTTTGTTTTGGAGATCGCATCTGGTTGTTAAAAAGTGCCTCTTGCTGTTTTATGCTGGATGCTGGAGGTGCGCTTAAGGAGTCTTGAAACCAGCTGCCAAAGCCTGCGTGGAGGAAGGATGAAGCATGGGAGCACGTAGCATTGTGTTCCAGCCCAGGGGCCAGGACGAGGCAGGGAGATTTGCTGGTGTAAAGCCCAATTGCTGACGTTTTCCCCTCCATTACAACCTGAGAAACTGAGATTGCAACACCAGACTTCTACAGAGAAGCCAAATTCCCCTTTGCCAGGAAGCAGCTGCTTTAATGCTTCAAACTGGCTCTGTTTGGCATTTCCAGGGACAGACACGGTGGGGGTTTCCGACTCTCAGCAACTGTGAAACTCCGGAGGTAACCTCAGAGGCTGGCGGAGGCGGCGGCCGAGCCCGGCACGGCTGGGCAGGGGCTGGGCAGGGGCGGAGCAGGCGGTGGGCACCCGGCTCGGGGTGGGCTCAGAGACACGGGCACCGTCCTCCTCGCTGTAAGGTCTCAGCCCCGCCAGCCACACACTTCCCCAGTACTGGTACCAGTCTGAGCCCACAGCCGGCTGGTTGGGGGAGTTAAGCAGGATGTGAGTCCTACAGAAAGTCAGCCCTAACACCCCGGGGTGCTTGGGCAGATGGGGATGGTGACCTCTGCTCCCAGCACCCGCCAGCCAGGAGATCAGCCTGGCCTTGCCGTCCACCCCCGGCTTTTCTGTGCGTGGCATGAAACTTCGTGTCGTTTCTGCTCGGGGAGGTAGGAGAAAACAGCCCTGGGACAGCCAGACGCCAAAGTCTGTTCTGTTCCAGAGTCGCAGAGCTGCGCAGAGAGCTTCCAAGCAGGAGAAGGCAGGACTGTGTCTGCCAGGAGAGATAATAAAGGGGAGTACCGTGTTATTAAAGCTAACTAGGGGAACGAAAACCTAGCGAGGAAAGTTCTTGCTTAATGACACTTTCATTACGCAATAAACTTTGATTCACTAGTCTGTCAAAATGCACAGATTGGTATAATGGCGGGGGAGCATGTTTTCCTGATACTGCCTCCTTGCAGCGCGGCTGTGATCCTAAAAGCAAGAGGTTTTGATTAACCAGAGTTGCTTCAGGATTTCCCCGCTTCCCTTCCTTTCCCTTCCCAAGCCAGGGAGCGGGCAGCACCCGCTGCTCTGCCTGGCTTTGCCTCCGGGCAGGGTGCGGAGGCTTTCAGCGGGACGGGGCTGCTCCTTAAAAGGCAATGTTTAGCAGCTCCTGCCTTTGGGGGACCCACTGGCGGGAGCCCATGCAGGCAGGAGTTAAAGGTAGGCTGGAAGGGAGTTTGCAAGCAGCAGCCAAGCACCGACCTGGAGCAGCCAGATGGGTTTATTCCCCTCTCCCAGCCCCTCTGCCGAATTTCGCCGCTAGCGCCCGGCATTGCAGAGCAGCCGCGATAGCGCTGGAGCTGAACTTGATGAACCGGGAGGTTTCGGCATGACCTTTGTTAGTCTTTAAAGTCTGGTATCTGTTCTCACCTGGCTCTGGGTTTTCCCCCCTGGTGTTTAACAAGTGCTTTTGTTCTTTGGAAAGAGGCGGTGTGGAAATAGCAGTTTCTTGCTCACCTGAGGTCGTCCCGCACCTCGCCGCGGCTCTTTGCTCCTTGCTCTCGGGCAGAGCCAACCTTGGGCTCTGTGCGCCTTTTCCCAGGCCGAGGAGCCAGAGCGGCCACAGGATGGAGTTGGCGTGATGAGGCAGACAAGGGTTGGGAACGAATGTAAAAAGCTGATGACAGAGAGTTAAATAACCCATGAAGATTCTTGAATAGTTAATTTTGGGTAGATGTGAAATATTGCCTTGGATACAGAAGGTATTCTTTCAAGGGCTGATTTTCAGTTCTGCCAACAACCAACTCAGAAAGTAAGATGAGTTTTGGATTGACCTGAACCTTTTTTTTTTTTTTTTCCCCAGTGCCATTCTGTTCACAAAACTAAAATAAAGTAGAACTTTTAAAAAAATAATGATTTCTTCAAATTAACAGACAGCCAAACCCACTGACACAAAAGCCCACGGCAGAAGCCAGCCATCTCCTGTTGCCTTTTGAACGCAGCTGCCTGTCAGTGCGCCGTCTCGCTGCACGGGACCCTTCTGGAGCCCACGCTGGTGTGCAGCCCTAATTTGGGTTTGCACTGTTACTTCTGACAAGCCGCTGGCTGAAGGGTGGGGAGAGGTAGGTGTGTGGGGGCATTTTCCTCCCTTGCTTCTTCCTGGCAGGGCAGCTGTTGCTCTTAAAAGTTGTTGGCTGCAGCGCGGGTGATGCTGGGGAGCCAGCAGCTCCGTAACTTACCCCCTTTGTCTGCGCCGTGCTCACGCTGGAGTCTTCCCCTATCTTGGTCAAAGATATTTATTGCTGTAAAAACCTGCTGATGGTAACAAACGTGGGCTGGAGAGGCTGGTTTGCAGCCTGTGCCGGTCGCTGCGTGTTGTCCCTCGCTGGCCCTGGGGTGGGATGTGGCGGGGTGCCCTGCCTGGGTGCGCTCCCTCCAGGTTTGGGTGCAAGGGGAGCTCAGAGCGAGGACACCTCAGCCTGCCCGTCCCCACACCCGCCGCCGCAGCCAGAGCACCGGTAGCTGCCCGCGCCGAGCAAGCCACGTCTGCCACAAAATTCGCATGAAGTGACACGGTGGAAATTATCGGGATGGGGCGGATTGGATGCCACGAGGGCAAAACTGAGTCCGAGGCGTGAATCAGCCACGCTGGCCCTGGAAGAGGCCGTGGTCGGCTGTGATTCCAGCCTTGCCATCCCAGGCTGGGGCTTTGCTGCTCGTCAGCCAAGGTGTGACCCCCCGGGGTGGTGCCACTGCCCGCCGTGCCCCCGGAGCTGCGCTTTCTGCCACTGCTGGCTGAACGTTTCTCCAGCGTGTAGGAGCAAACTGTGAGGCTTTGCTTAGTGAGTGTCAGTGAATGAAACACAAAAGGCCTGTCAGGGGGAAACTGCTGGGTAATTACTATAATTTACAGCCTACATTTTAATTTTGAGCGTTATTTTTTCAACAATAAGGGAGCAGGAATAATATCCGAACCAGGTGAAGGGAGAGAGCTGGGTCCACTGGGAGGGGCTGCTGCATGTGGACTCGCTGCCTTGTGCTGGAGACTCGAGTTTCCCTGGCTGGACCGGAGGGGATGGCACCTCTCGGGGAGCTGGTGTCCCAGGGGCCTTCCTGTCCCCCTCCAGGGTCAAAGGATGGGGGGACAGTGCGGAAGGGGGGTTGTGGGGTTGTGGTAGGAGAGGGAGAGCCGGGCAGGTCCGTGGTCAGGACACAGGGCTGGATATTTTTGCAGCGGGTTGATACGACGGTCCAGCAACCGGCTTCTCCAAAGGGGCGAGCTGGGAGCTGAGGGTCCCCAGCCAGGGCTAGCGGAGCAGGGAGATGGCACTAGAGCTGAGCTGGCCGGGGGGGCCCGACTCCCTACCCCCACCCCGTCCCTGCTGCATCCCTTGGCGCAGCGTCAGGAGCCCGGCGCTCGCCCGGCTCTGCCTCCCACTGCCTCCGCGGCCCTGGAGAAGTTACTCACCTTCCTTGTGCCTCGGCTCTCCCACGCGCTGCAAACCGCCCCGAGATCGGCGGGGGAAAGCAGCGCCGCGATGCGCTAATTCAGCTCAGCAATGCCGACCACGCTTGCGGGGTGCCTTGGGTAGTGTCGCTGACTCCACGGTGCCGGGCTTTCTCCGGGATTGGGGTTACGGCACATTTTGGCTGCGCCATAGCCAGAACTGCCTCCATCCCCACGCCCAAGAGGGTGTGTGGGTGCGAGAAGGGCTGGAGGATCGCCCCAGGTACCGTTGAGTGTAGGGGAATGAGATCACTTAGTTTTTCCCCTGTAACCTTGATCTGTCAATCCACATAAGCCCGCGTTAAGGGACCTTTTTACGGGTTCCCTCTGCTCCCACCGAGCCCTGGGTGGAGCAGGGCGGCCGCACCAGAGAGCCTTGCAACGGCTCCGGTCAAAACCCACCGCTGCAGAGAGCCGAGGGGACGCGAGCTGACAGCCCTCCGGGTTTCTCCTCTGTGCTCCGAGACGCCGAGTGTGCACTACCATGCTCTCCAAGCTCCTTTTCCTTCCAGCCCTCACTCGCCGGTACCGGAGCAGAGGCCCCGGTCCGCCCATGGTGAGACCGATTCCAAACCTCTTCCCATCCCTCCTCCGCCGGGGCAGTGGCCGCAGAGCTGAGGTGTGCCGGGGTGCCGCGGCATCCCACTGGTGTGGCGTTGGGCTCGCCGGCGCACATATCCCCAAAGAAAAGCGCCTTTGATTCACTTGAGAGCAGAGGAAACTATTAGCCAAGCTTTGTTTTCCTGGATCCCTCCCCCTGCCGCTGACATTCAGACGAGAGCGAGGGAGACAGAAAGTGAGAGAGGGAGGGCGGGAGCGGGTGCCAAGCGGCCGCACCCCTTGTCAGCTTGGGTCAGCGCCACGTTCGTTATTAATGCTCTGTCTAGAGGTCACATTCAGATGCAACGAGCCCCGGGTCAGCCAGAGGAACAGATTAGAGCTCGCTTGCTGCTCCGCCACATACCGACGGCACCGGCTCCCTGTCCCTGGGCTGGCAGGAGCGGAGCTGCGGCGCGCGGTCGGCTGCTCCCTCCCCTTTGCCTTTCTCCTGCCTTTTTTTTTTTTTTTTTTTTAAAAAAAAAAAAAAAACACGATTATTTTTTCTTGGCAACATCGGGCATCTCCTGAAACTGCACAGCCTCCCCGTACCTCCGAGCTGCTGAGCGAGGAGGTGAGGTAGGGGGGAAAATACCGGAGGCGCTTCCATCCACCTTAACAACCGTGGCTGCAGCCGGCTGGAAAGCTCCGGCGAGCGAGCGGGAGGAGCGCGGAGGACGCCGTTCGCTCACCAGCCCCGCCGGAGGGAAGAGCACTGGGGCCGGAGCATGTGTTCCCACCAACTTCTGGCATTGGGGTCAGGAGTCTCCCGCCTGTGACCTGGTTTCCAGCCTCAGTGTCTGCTTGCTCGCCGCTCTCGGCCGCCCATGGCTCTGAAATCCTCTCGCCCCCAGGATTTAAAGAACCGTCTTTGCTTTCTTCTCTGTCTCCGGCTGCTGCGAGGGAGCGAAAGCAAAATGCGTGGGGAGGGTGTGAGCGGAGCACTCGCAGCGCTTCGCAGCAGGCTGCCGTGCCCAGGGGGGCTTTGAAGAAGTGCCCCGACGCCCGCGTCCTTCCCAGCTCGCCTGCTGCACGCTCCGGGCGCGCTCCCTGCCCGTCGGAGCCGGACCCGGAGCACGTAAGTCCGGCTTTGGGATCCGGAGGATGGGGTTAACCGGCAGGGTTGCGCGTAGCCGTGTGCCTTTGGGCAGACCCCCGCGTCCAGAGCCCCCGCCCCGAGCCAAGGAGCAAAGCCTTCCTTAAGATCGGATAACTCAGTCATAGTTTCAGTTGCGCTGCAGGACGAAGGGCCCCGCGGTGCCGGGGAGCGCAGGGCGGAGGCTGGGGGGGATGCAGGGGCTGGGGGCTGCTGCACTGCCAGAGCGCATCGAGTCGGGGTGCCCGGCGAGCCAGGGGCTTCCTGGTACGTCCAGGGGTGTGTTGGCTGGTCCCTCCCCGAGCCTGCAGATAATTACAGCGTGGGGAAGCAGGTGTTGCTGGTTTTAATGTAAAGAGAAGAGCAGCTGGGCTCCCTGCTGGGTCCCGCAGGCAGGGGCTGCAGGCAGCTTCCTCCTCGTGAGCCCGGCACGGCCGCCGTCACCGGCAAGCTCCTCCGGCAGCGTCCCCGTCCCCCAGCCCTGCGGTGGGCAGGGGAAGGGGCAGCCGGGAGCTGGCACCGCCCGCGGCTGGCGGAGGTCACACCGTGCTGGGGACCGCTCACGCTGGCATCCGTCACCCCGCCCCAAGCCCTGGACTCCGCCGGGCCAGGTCCCGCTTCTCCCCGCCGCCCGGCACGGCATCTCGCCCGCCGCAGCACCGGAGCTCCCGGCACGCCGCTGCCAGCGTTTGCGTGTCGGGGCTTCGCCCGGGGCGCAGCGTAACGGCTTCAGCCCCGGCTGTCACACGCTTGGTGCGGGGCCGCCGGCGTGGCGATGAGCAAAGGGGGCCGAGCCGCTTGTTGGCTTTGGAAGGCAGCGACGGGTTGTGACACAGGGGATGGGTTGTGACACAGGGGACTGTCCTGTTTTCCCCTGCAGCCTTCAGCGACTGCAGGGGGAGGACTCTCACCCCAGCTTGTTATCTCTCGCGGTTGGTGGCCGGATGTCCTTTTTTTTTTTTTTTTTTTAATATTATTTTAAAGAAGTCCTAGCCTGCCAGCAGGGTGACAGAGGTTGTGGGTTTGGCTGAGGCAAGGCTGGGAGTTGCAGAGTTAAAGCTCAAACTTGTTTCTTGGCTTGCCGTGGCCTTTTGTGGTGCTCAGCGCCATGTGATGCCTACCTCTTACATGCAATTTGATAAGCCCTGGTGCTGGGATGGGGGCAGGATACAGGCACTGGCTGGTTGTTAACTCCTACTGTGCTGGCTGCTGCTGGTTTTCTTCAAGATCTGGGAAGCAGGGAGAGGGGTATAATCTCTGCTGGGGGGGGTACGTGGCGCCGTCTATTCAATGCAGACATACCCACAGCCCCCGTGCTGTGCCCTCCCCTTGCATGGGCACACGGATACTGGCTGGAGGTGCATCCCTGGGGCCTTGATCGCTTGTGAGATCGGTCTGTCCCGGGATGGTTTGTTGTTGGGCTGAAGCAGAGGTTGGGCTGGCACTTGGATCCGGGCTGGGGCTCGGAGGTGACACATGGCAGCAGCTTGGCTGAGGGCTGGCAGCGGGGCTGGGGCGTAGCTGCCGCGGCTCCTGGGCACAAGCAGAGCCACACACAGGAGCCCTGACGTGGGACTCGCTGCGGTCCTGAGCCCCGTGGTGTCAGAGCAGCCAGGCAGGGGTTTGGGGATGGATGACAGAGCCCAGGCTCTGTGGTTGGTGGCTTCTGGGCAGAATGACCCCTAACAAAAGAGGAAGATGCCCTTAGTAGGGTCATTCCCTGCTGGTTTTCATCTTAAAGCCACCTTTTGTGTACTGTGCACCTGGGCTCATTGTCTTTCTGTCCTGCGCCCTACATGAGGTGCAGCGGAGGACGAGGGGAGCTGTTGGCATCACGGGGACAGCCAGGAGCCAGCTGGACCAGCATGGCCCAGCTGATCCCACAGCATCCTGCAGGTTGGTGGCAGCTCTGGCCCCACCAGGCACCCCAGGAGGGACCAGCCACTGCACCGGGAAGGGTTGCAGGCAGCGAGGCTTTATTTCCCAGACAGCCTGGATGGGGTCCTTGCCCATGTCACCTCCAGGAGCCTGGGATGGAGGGACCAGGGTGCCACTGCACCCATCCCTGGGCTGCAGCTGTGACTCCCTCCTCCAGCTGCAGGACCAGGGGGTGCCCAGACACCCCTGCAGAGACCACAAGGTGCTCACTCGCTCCTTTGCCCTCCTCTTCCTCCTCCACCCTGCTGGGTTGCCTGCGGTGCTGGCAGGAGCCCCGTGCTTGGGTGGCACTGTCTAGCCAGGATTGCCAGCCCTTGGCGTGATGCCTGACCAGGGAAGCTGCTTTTGCTCCTGAGCCGGCGCTCAGCGCTAATCCCCCGGCACAGCGCGCCTCTTCTCAGCCCGGGACATCACCTGGGCTTCCCCGTCTGCGTGCCGCCACTTCCCTGCCCGCGTTCTTCCTTCCCATCCATAACAGGATGCTGTGCCCCAGCCCCCTGAACTGCCTCATCACCCCAGTTGAAATCACTGGGGCACAGGAGGATGGAAGAGCCTTTGCTTCATGGTAGGGCCTGAAAGCTGCTGTCCCAAGTTCTCCTGGGCATGGCAACACGTCCTGCAGCCGTCCCAAAGGGGAAAGGAGCACCACTCACCCTCCTGACTGCCCGGTGGCTGGCTGAGATCTGGCTATGGGACGTATTTTGTTCCGGAGGCAGTCAAATTAAAGCCTTTTTTCCCCTTGGAAAGAAAAACAGGCTCTCGTAGGTCATCCCCTGGCCTAGGAAGCCATTCAGACGGGTGCTAGTGACCATATTGTTCCTGTGAAGTCTGGCTTGCGCAGAGGGTGTTTCCCATGCAGTGTGGATAATGCTGCCCTTGTGTGAACGTATCTGATGTTAAACCCTTCGCTTTTCTCCCTCCTCTGACCACAGGTCTCCTTGAGCATGGGCGGAACTGGTCAGCCATTGCCAGGATGGTGGGCTCCAAGACTGTGTCACAGTGCAAAAACTTCTACTTCAACTACAAGAAGAGGCAGAACCTGGATGAGATCCTACAGCAGCACAAACTGAAAATGGTGAGAGCCCTGTCTCAGCCCACACCAGGCACTGTAGATACTTCCTAGCAAGTGCTTGCATGCTTCCCGCAGCGAAGGGGGGGTCTCTGTCATCTCAGAGTGAAAGCTCTGGGGAACGGGAAGCGGGGCAAGAAAGGGTCGTCCACCCGTCTGTCCCCAGGAGATCTGGAGGAGGGAGAGCTGCTGCGTGGGAGATGCCTGGGCGTCTGGAGCGTGGCTGGTACACAAGGAGATGAGGAGCAGAAGGAGGAGTGGGGCTGCGGTGTGATGGCTGGGACGCGAGCTCAGTCCTGGCCGCACAAATACTTTAATTCCAGCAAGGTTGTGCTGTTCCAGCCCGGCGAGTGGCGAGCCCGACTGGGCCCCGCAGGTACCACGGTTACCTGGTAAACTGCCGATTTGCCCCAAAGAAATTCAGGTGTTTAGGACAACGTGAGGAAAGGCTGGTGCTGGCACGGATGCCGGTTGTCTTTGGGGCTGCGAGCAGGTGCGCACATCTCTCCGTGCCTCGGTTTCCCCGTCAGAAGGGGCTAACGCTGTGTCTTTTCTGGCATGCGGTGCAGGGTGTGAATGAGGTGGGGTTTGTTTGGTGTTCTGGAGATAGGATGGACTACTAAGAGCAACTAAGGATTGTAATTATTTCATTTGTAGAGTATCCTGGGGTTCCCAGTTTCTGGCTAATAGAATTCACATGGCTAAACCCCCAAGGGGTGCTTTGAAAATGCAAAGGACAATGTTCAATGCAGGAATCTCTCCAAGCAAGCTATTACAGCAAGAGTAAAAAGAAAGACAGGAAAACATTCAATGACTCATGCAGGAATTTAATATCCTAGTCAGTCTATAGGAATGAGAGAAAGAGAAGACATCGGCGATTCTTTTTTATTAATTCTCTATGCACAGAGACACTTCTGTGTTCCCATGTTTCACTGAATTGTTTTTAGAAACAAAGCAAACAAACTATATAAAAGACCCCAAAACCGATATAAGACTGGAATGAAATGTGCATCAAGCCCTCTGAATATAAAACGTTACATTAGAAAGATATCATTGTTCATTACTGGGGAGAATCTGAAATAAGATCATACAGCTTAGCTGGAGGTGGAGCCGGTGTGTATTAATTTACTCTGCTTCCTAATGTTGCAGAAATTATATCACGGAAGTGTTTTTCTGCAGAACCACATTTTTCCTTGCATCCATCCCTCCAAGGCAGCCACTAGACTCCTCTAGTCTAATTGCTCACTCTCACTTGCAGTTTATATCAGCATCATCATTTTATTTTTTGAGCATTGGAGGCTATGGGATTCGGTTGTGAAGAAGAACAATGAATGTTCAGCTGTTATTTATTGTGCTCTATTGTTTTGTGGCAACAGCAGATGCCAGAAAGCTGAAGAAAATAAAAGAACAACTGAGATTAAATTGCCATAGACCTTCCTTCCTGACTCCTAAATATATTTCCAAGCAAACTGAGCCTCCAAATCTCATCCTGTACCCAGTAGCCAGCCCTGACCTCTGTGCAGGAAGCATGTGGCGAGGCGGCGTGGCATCGCCTAGTTTTGCCCTGACATCTCCAGATTATTCCCTCACCTCACCACCAACAGCTACTGCTGATCGTGTGTGGGGAAACACAGGGGCTCTGCTTTTCTTCCTCTTGCTTAATTAGAGTAAACTTAATTAGCAGATTTCATTCATTTCCAAAATGAGGCTCACTAATATGGTAGCCTCCTCTTCCAGGTAGGTGTAACACTGAGTTTCAGCAGTGTGCAGGCGACTCAGAGGAGCTGTGGGGATGGGCAGGCAGCAGTGACCAGTGTGGGATGGGACGCAGAGACTGGCAAGGTCCCTCTGTCCCCAAAGCGTGGCACAGCACAGTGCGGAGCAGGATGGCCCCATTCCCCATGCTGGGACAATGCTGGGGGGGATTGGGACCGGGTGTTTTGGCAGCCCCTTGTCCCCTTGCGCGCTGAACCCTGGCTGATGAGAGCCCGAGGAGCTCTGGGAATGGGGGAACCCACCCTCTGAGCATCCAGCGAGCATCCAGCATGAGGAAGAAGGGTTTGGGTTGCATCAGGCAAAGATGTCTGGCGTGGTGATGCTCCTTTTCCACCTCCCCAGGGCTCGCACAGTCCTTAGGCTTCCACATGCCATGTTTGGGGTTTTCATTTGAAGACTCATCCTTTTACTGGAGGGGTTTTCCCCCCAGGGAGAGAGCACATAGAGCCCGGGGAGCTGTGCACGGGCTGTGTCAGCACGTGGAGCCCCATTTCCCCTCTCCCCTGAGCTGCTCAGCACTCATGAGACCCTTTTCCAGCCTGTTTGGGGAGGGGAACCCCACTTCAGTCCTGGCTCAATGGGGCTGGATGCTGCAGATCCTCAACCTCCTCCCTCTGCAAGCACCCCCATGGATCAGGGCGTCCCTGCCAGCCGGCTGCACCGTGGGACAGGTGGCCCATTACTGCTGGGGCAGGGCCAGGCCACCTCGAGGCTTCGCTTTATCTGCCCTGCTGTGTGTTTTGGCTAGGTTTCGCAGCCGAGCAACTCGGATGCATCCCAGGCATCAGCGTCACATAGCCTTGACCTTCTGCATGCTGCGCTCTCTAATCTCAGCATTTAAGGAAAGCAGGGCATTGGGATACATGGTGGCCTCAGAGCTGCTCGTTTTGTTAGCAGTTGGAGAGTAGGCACTGTCTTTACCAGGACTTCTTTGTGGTGTGATTGTCATTTTGGTCTAGTGACTGCTGGGGCTTGTTTGCGCTTGTGCAGCGAAGGTGGGCGAGTTATCCCCTGGGTGGTCTGATGCTAGTCCTGCTTGGAGGACCAGTCCTTTGGGCCCCTCTGAGCAACATTTCTACAATTCCTTGCTTTTTTTGGATGGTGCTGGCTTTGCACAGCAAAGCTGCTTCAGGAGGACAGCCTGGTAGTCTCTTCTTCTGGAGGCTGAACAAGTCTGCCTTGCTTTGGTCTCGAAATGGGAAACTCTTCCCATCGCTGCTGGCTGCTTCCGCAGCAGCGCACAGGAGTCTCTCTGTGGTTAGACCCAGTCCTGGTGTGGTCTCAAATGCACATCATTATGTCACGCCAGTCTGGGACTGCTTAATCCTGCTCTTAGGACAGGCTGGCACCGATGGGAGGTACCTGTTATGATGGCTTCGTGTCGGTAGCGGTGTTTGGAAGCTGGTTTAGCTGTTGCTGCCACGCCAGGAGAGGCAAAATTTGTTGGGATGGCTGCTCTGCCTGTGAGGTAGAAGGCCAGAGGGATGTCTCGCCCAGGGGCTGGTGGCATCTCTATCTCCTCTTCCAGGACAGATGGTGCAGGTGAACTTGAGCAGTGGGAGGCAGTGCCCTGGTGCCTGAGATGGCAGGAGGGGAGATGGGGGAAGAGCCAGGCTGGGAGTCAGCGTGATGGAGCTGGCTGGGGACCAGGTGCCTGGGAGGACAGTGTGGAGGAGCAGGCATGGAGTGACCCCTCATGCAGGGTTCGTTGTCCTCGCACAGAGCGTCTCCTCAGTGGTCTTGGCAAGGCAGACTGCTCGAGTAGCACCAAGTCCTGGATACTTCTGCAGAAATAACTGGTGGCAGGTAGAGAGCAGAGACCCCGTGGGCTGGTATAGCACAAAGTGAGCACCAAAGTGCAGATAGCAAACAGTCCTGGCACCTTCCTGTGGCCTCGTTGGTAATCGCTTGGATTAAGAGTACATTGTGACGATGGGAGAGGCCTGGTCGCACACATGGCTCATCAGGGACCTTCCCATGTCTGCCGCAGTCTTGGTTAGAGTCCTGTGTCAGCCACGGGGGCCCTGTGGCTGTTTACAGAGGCAGAGCAGAAAGGGACCCCTTTCCTGGGCAGGGTTCTGGGAGCAAGACTGCTGGAGGGGGCCAGAGCTGCCGGCATTATAAAGAGGCAAGATGGTGGCCTGAACATATCTCTAGATGTAGCCAGGATCTGCTGCCTGGGTTTCACATCATTTTCCCTAAATAGCAGCAGTGGGATCTGCCAGGAGAGGGACCCACGGTGGCCCCGGGGCAGCTCGTGGCTCCGCTTTGCTGGCGGCCGCCGGGCTCTGGCCAAGTAGGGTGCTGAGGCAGAGGCTGGTTCCCAGCTAATTCCCCAGCGAGGAGCCTGCTCCTGCCCGCGGCTGAGTCACGGACCCGTGAGTAAGAGGCAGAGAAGTCTTTGCCATAGTAACGTCGGCGCTTTGTCACCGCATTAGCGTGATGGGGAAGTGCTGCTTCAGACAGAAACTCGCAGTTGCTGAATCGCTGCCGTGGCAGAGGCGCGAATGCTGGCAGAGCCGGAGCATCGCTGCCGCGACGGGGCGAGGGCACCGCGGAGCCCGGCCTTCCTCCCACCGCCTCTCCGTGCCTTCACACGGCCCTTTCTCAAGTGCCTTTTTTCCCCTCTCTCCTGCCCAGTTTGATAAAAATAGATTTTGAGCAAGCTGCGTTTCCAAGCAAAAAGCAGTTGTATTTGTTTGTTTTATCTGGAAGTTTTTTAAAGGATTGAAAAGTTGGGGGTGGGGGGAGGAGGAGGACCAGCTCTTCCCAGCACCGAGATCCAGCAGCAAAGTTAACGTTTCCACCACGGCTTTATCTTTTCATCCATGTAAATAAACGTCCTACACACGTCATTCGTGTGGGGTTTGCAGGGAGAGCCGGAGATGATGGGCCTGTTCCTACTGGTAATATTTACTCAAGCAACAAGAGCAGGAAACAATAGCAAAGCCGAGACTTTTCCTTTAGGTCAGCAGGAGGGAGCAGCTGTCCGTGCCCTCGTGGCTGAGGCACGTGCCCCGGCGAGCGGGGACGGGGCACCAGGCAGCTCGCCGTTGGGATGCTGTGCCTCACGGAGCGTCCCCACCGGCAGCGGCCTCCCCGGCACGGGTGTCAAAGTCCATTGGCGTGAAAGCTGGTGCATGAAAATGTTGGCTGGGCCTTATGTGGGGCGTCAGCTTCGTTATCTGCAGATGAGCGTCAGGCCGCGGCCGCCCGCGTTTGTGTCGCCGGAGATAGTGCCTGGAAATGCGCAGGACGAGCACGCCGCGTACGTGGGGCCGTGGGGCTCTGGCCAGCCCTGCGCTGGGGCACGTCCCTTGCCCGCCCATCCGTGCCATCCCTGACTGATATTCAGAGGGTTCAGCTGGGGGGGCCGTGGCTGTGTTAGCAACCCTCCTGGCCCTGTGGGCAGGACCGGAGCTCTCTGCTCCCATGCAGCTCCCCGTGGGCTTTCCTTCTCACCATCCTCCGCTTCTTCCTCAGGAGAAAGAAAGGAACGCCAAGAGGAAGAAGAAAAAAGGCGCCACGGTTCAAAACGAAGAAGCCGCCTTCCCTCCCGCAGCTGAGGATGAGGAGATGGAGGTGTCGGGGACGAGCGGCAACGAGGAGGAGATGGCCGAGGAGGCGGAAGGTGAGGCGGGGGGGCTGCGGTGGGGGGGATGTGCTCAGCCCTCCCGGCTTTGCCGCACAGCACCGTGTGCGGCCTCTCCGGGGCTGCAAATGTCAGCGCTCGCGGGTGGTCACATCTGTCACCCCAAAGCCACACCGAGGTGACAGCATCCCGCTGCACGAGGCGCTGGTGGCATTTTGGATGCCTCTGGATTCCACGCTTGCAAGGAGTGCCCTGGATCACTGCCCTCCCTCCCGTGTCTGTCTGGACAGATGGTTATTTTTGGGAGCCCTTTGGTTTCTGATTTCCATCAGCGTGCTCTCCAAGAGCACCCAGCTTAGCAGGGACTGGCACGCTTGTGTGCTCCTGTAAATCACATTTCATGGTATTTTCCTCCAAAGGAGGGGCCCTGCGTGCTCAGCAGGGTTAGATAGCCGCCACCGTGGGCTCCCAAGGAGCTTATCACAGGCTCAAAGAGGGAAAACCCACCAGGGATTGTGTGTGCCCATCACCATCCCTCCAGGGCATCACTGCTGCTGCTGCCCCAGGCAGCAGAGCTCCCGGAGGCCAGCACTGCCAGCAAAGCCAAGGGAAGCCATGGTCTCTCACCGGCAAGGCTGATGTATCTTGGCGGGTTTTTTCCCCCTCCTTTCCCTTTTAAGGCAGCATTTTCCTCCCTCCCAGCCATACCAAAGAAAGGAAACAACTTGAAAGTGACAATTTTCAGCTATTTATCGCTTAGAAAGCGAGGCAGTGAGTTTGGAGAAAATGTGCATAATTTTCCAACAATAGCCCCATTTGACTTCTGTCAAAGTAATTTAATAACTTAACCAGTACTGCTGGCACCACGCTGGTTCCTGGCCTTAGCACCCAGGCTAATGGGACTCGAAATGGGAAATCTTTTCAAATCATCATTGCAAGTGACTCATTACGAGGCAGATTCCAGGTAAATCTTTGTGCGAGGTGATACGTGACTCAGAGGCGTAAAGTAAAAGGTAGTTATTGCTCTTTGTAAGAGTGCCTGAGAGGAAACAATGCATTTTTGAGATTAGAGACGGATCTCTTGACATGTTCCTGAGCCTTACGCTCCAAGCCTCGCTCCAAGCCTCGTCTCTTGTTCTGCTGCTGGGGTGGGTTATGGAGCTGAAGAAAGGGGTGAGCAGGGTGGGATGAAATGCCACGGGCACAGAAGTGCCAGGGTGATGTTATGCACGAGGTGGCCGCTGGGTCCAGGGTGGCATTTAGGGGTGCTCAGGCAATAGCTTGGAGTCGGGGGGGCTGTGTGGCCAGCCAGGGACGGGGGGAAGGGTTTGGCATGGGCGTTATGGTGTAGACCACAGGTTCAGCATCTGAAGGGAGGGCACTGGAGCCTAAAGCTTGGTTGAGCCTGGGACGAGCCACCGCTGGATGTCTCGGTGTGGCATTCAGAGTAGGATCGAGTGGCAGCTGGGGAGAGTTTGGCCAAACGTGCTGTAAACCTCATCCCTGGGTGGGTGACGGGACACCTCATTCCTAGATTGCAAGTGAGTAAAGGTTGGAGAAGGCTGAGATTCCTGGTGAGTATGGCGCGTTTTCCTGCCAAGGAAGGATGGATGTGCTCTGGCATACAGCTCCTGGGGCACAGCGCCTCTGTGCCACTCATCTCGCTGCCGCTGGAAAGCTGTCTGTGCTGTTACGGAGAGAAAGTCAAGAGATGCACATGGGGAAGCCTTTGGGCACAAGCGTGAGAGCCCTGCCTGGTGGGGATGTGCTGAGGTGGGACCATGGAAGGCTCCTGGTGCTCCTGGCCATGTTTGTCCAGCAAAGGCTTGGAGGGAACAATCTTCTCCCCAGCCGCAGAAACAATCTCTCAGCAGCACTTCCATCTACAGCCTTGCACCCACACTTGTGCTTCCAGCTCACTCCAAGCCACTGGTGGCAGATTTGAGAGTGATCCTTTCCATCTAATAATTAACCTGTCCCACAGCTCTGCCAGCACTTTGCTTTAACTGACCCTGACCTCCTTTCTTCTGCCACTGGCAACTTAAATAACAACAAACACGCACGTTGTTTTGGGATGGTCCTCAGCTGCCCCGGGGTGGCAGAGCCAGGGACACGGGCGACGTAAGTCAGCAAGCAGGGTGCCAGCAAGGTGCCTGGTCCCAGGGGAGCAGAGCTGATCCAGAGCCATGGGTGAGAGAGTGAGGAGGGAGCTGGTCCTGTCCTGCACATCCAGCCAGCAGCCAGGATTTTCCCTTAAAATCCAGCTTCCCAGTCACTCGGTCTCTCCAGGCTTTTGGGCGTGTGGTTTTGGGTTTGGGTGGGGGTTAACAACAGTCATGCTGGGCAAGCAGAGAGGCCCCCAGAGCATCCCTTTGCTTAGTAGGCTCTGGATCCGGGGATCCCGGCTCAGCTCTCCCAGCCCCGGGATCATCTCCCCCTCGGAGGAATGAGGGCGTTCTCCTCCCAAGGGAGGGGGTGGAGGCAGCGATATGGGAAGCGAGAATCTCAGGCTGATCCTTATTTTTATTTCTTCTCTTTTCTCAGCTGCAGTAAATAACAGCTCCGACACCGAGAGCATTCCCTCGCCGAGGCCCGAAGCCAAAGAAGGAGGCGAAAACGGGGCCAAGGCACCACCCGGGCCAGGAGGTGACTCTGCCGCAGAACCGGCAGTCAAGTTGGAAGAGGCTCCAACACCCCCCGACGCTCCCCCCACGCCCCCCACCAACCCCGCTCCTGCCGCCAGCCCTCCGCCACCGGAGGCAGCTCCCGAGCCGCCCAGCAGCGAGGAGAAGGTGCAGGAGGACCTGGTGGTGGACGTGGTGAAAACGGAGGAGCCGGAGGAGAAGGCGAACGAAGAGCCCTGCAAGAGCGAGGTGAAGAAGGAGGAGAGCGAGGACAGCCAGGAGAAGGACAAGGGGAATGACAAGAAGGCAGAAAGCGGCGTCAACGGTGGAGGGACAGCGGGGACGGAGGGGACGCCCAAGGCCGAGAAGAAGGAAAGCCATAAAGGCAGTAAAGGCCCCGGGGTGAACCCCGACAGCGACTCCAGCGCGACCTGCAGCGCGGATGAGATGGACGATCAGGATGCTGTGGACAAGAGCAGGTAGGAGCGGGGAGAGAGGTGGGCACGTGAACGGCCTGCGGGCCAGGCGAGTATCTCCGCTGCGTGCCGCGGTGCCCACGTGCGCTTTCATGAGCTCCTCCTTGGGAATGTCACGGCTCAGGCCCTCCCCCCGGCGCAGGGACGTGCCCGGCTGTGTCCCCATGTGGCTGTGACCCTTTGCTCATCACATGCAAAGGGGGCCGTGACGCAACGGGCAGTGCGATGTCCCAACGTAGGGGTGCTGCCGGGCAACGGTCGCGGGCAGGTTTTGGGTCCAGAGCTGCTGCGTCTGCTGGTGGCAGCTCATCTGGGTGACGCAATGGAGCGGGACTTGCCCTCGGGGACAGCGGAGCTGTGCAGAGGCACAGGCTGGTTTGCCAGCATCCGGGGTTGGGAACGGTTTCTGTCTGAGTCGGCGCTGGCAGGAGTCACGTCAGGGACATGTTCCCAGTGCGGAGAGGGGACGAGTTGCTCCCTTGGCAGAGATGCTGCTTGGATCTGCAGGGGTGAATTATCCATCCTGGCCACAAAGGGAGAAGGGTGTGGGCTGTGCGATCTGCCCTGGGGCCATGCCACCAGGTCTTCACCACGGTGGTCCTGAGCACCCACCCCTGGGGCTGGCAGCTGAGGGTGCTTCTGACCCGTCATGGATGGCTTTTGGGACACGGAGGGGCAACACTTGCCTCCTCCTTGGAGAAATGTCCTGCTCCCCTCCTGGCTTTTCCCACAGAGCCCTCCCCATCCAAGAACCTCACAAATGGGGAGAGGGTTTCCTGGGTTTTTTTAAAGAATATATATGAATACGTGCATCTTTCTAGTGATGATTTTTCTAACGGCTCCTGCGTCCATCCACACTGGCTCCTGGGCCAAGTGGGAATCCTGAGTCCACCCTGCCATTGCATGTAGGGACAACAGTCCCTCCCCGCCTCAGAACTGGGCTGGAGCCGGAGGCTGGCATCCTACATCCCTCCCGTGGGCTTGCAGGGGCCAGTTTGGCAGCGGGCTGGGTGCTGCCAGGTCAGGCGGACTGCACGCAGCGCTGTGGATGGGGCTATTTAAAAAAACAAACCCAGCAAAGCAGCAGGACGAGGCGGTAGGGAGCTGTCGCACATCTCCACCGCTCCTGACGGCCTCCGCACTTTCCCTGTGATGGATGCAGGAGCCAGTGGGTGAGCGCTGCTCGTGCAGGAGCATCCTCCGTGCCGCCCAGCCGCCCCGGGGGAGCAGCCCCTCTCGCTGCCGAGCAGCTGGAAGCAGCGCTGAGAATGCCGAGGGGTGGTGTAGATGCTGCTGGCCCCGGCCCCATGGCAGGGCTGAGGCCTCTTGGCTGCGGTGCTCCTCTCCAGCAGTGGACAGAGTCCAGCACCACCCCTCCCCACCCTCTCCTCCTTCCCAGACGGGAGAAAACCTCCCATCAAGGAAGAGTGAGGCCAGTGGGGCTGCACTCCTCAAATTTAACATTAACCCAACCGAAAACAGGACAGCAACGGCTTGTGCTGACTTCCCAGCAGCAAAGGAGCAAGTCGTCTTGGGAACGACTTTTTCATCCCCAGCTCCTCGCTGAGTCAGCGCCTATCTCGCTTGTCAAACAGTTACCAGCTTCCAGGAATATTAAATATTAAACATTAAACAGGCGTCCCGCAACTCCCGGGCCACTCCTCTTATCCGGTGTGGCGATGGAGTGTGGGCGATAGCAGAGCCTGCCGGCACAGGAAAGCTGCAGCCGACACCGGCGCCTGGCGCTGCCCAGCCCGGGAGCCCCAGGAGCACCCACGGGGTCGGTCCACAGCCAGCTCGGAGGTTTCGGCACCGTCGTGCTCCCGACGGGGACTCTGTGCCCTTCCCCGGCGTAGTTTCGCTCCCTTGCGTTTCCCACCGGCCGAGGGCTGCTCGCTCGCAGGCGGTTACCGCAGCCCCGCTGCCGCAGCGTGACTCGCGATGAGCAGGACGAGGCTGCCGAGATGCCGCGTGAGCCGCCCCGTCACCGCATCACCCGATGCTCGCCCGCCTACCCAGCACCGGCGGGGCGTGGGTGCTCTTCCCCGCGCTTGTAAAAGCATCAAGCTGCCCGCGGCGTCTCCCAGAAGGGGACGGAGGGTGGCTGGGGTGTCCCCGCGCTGAGAGGGAAGGGGTGCGGGGTCGGCGTGAGGCGGAGGGGCAGCCTTTTTTGGGTCCTCCTGCAGTTCACACTAGCAAAGACAAGTCCGGGATAAGGAGGCGCAGCCTTAACTCGTCAAAGCTGAAGAAGGCAGCCGGTTGTCCGTGGTTCCATGCAGCGTGTGCTGCGAGGGGGCTGCTGCCAGTACTGCGGTTCAGCGGGAGGTCACGCCGGATGGGGACGTGTGAGGGAGGCCGTGCACAGTCACCCGCTGCAGACCCGCAGCGCAGAGAGGAGACGCCTGCCCGTAAGCATCGCACCAAACCCACCCCTGCGCTGCGCGTCCCGGTCGCTGGCTCGGCCGTAGGTGCCAGGGCCGTGCCGGGCCAGCACCGCCTCGGTGCCGTGGCCCTGGCTTGAGGGGGAGCCTGTCGGGGAAGTCTGGTAGCCATCATCCGTGCGCAACCACCGCGTGGGCAAGGAATTGCGTTTGGCTGCGTCCCGTGTCAGTGCGTTGGCTCATCTGGCAATGAGACTGGTCCCCATCTCCGTGGCAGAAGGTGAAGGAGTTGGGGAAACACGGTGTCCTGGTCACCCCCAAAGCTTTGTGCCTGGAATGGGACATTCCCACACAGCCAAGGCTCAGCCGTGTGTGTGCCGACCCCTCCCTGCTCTCACACCCTTTCCCCATCCCTCCCAACACCACCACCCATGTTTTAGGGACTGGTCATTGGGTTTGGGAGGCCCTGGGCTGGCAGCAGGTGGATAGGAGATGCTGAGGGTTGTTCACGCAGTGACTTCCAGAGCGAAGCACCCAACAGACAGCCCTGCGTGTGGTACAAGATCTGCTGGGAGGGTCATAATAAATTATGTAATTTGCATATTGATTAATTTAATACTGACTCTGGCTTCCTAAGAGTCGGGATCTTGGAGGGCTTTAGGAAACCTGAGGATCTTAAGCGTGCTTAAAGGGTGCTTAAATACGTCTCTGCAAATGCCACGAGTGCACGAGGTGGCTGCTGGGGCGGTTGCTCTGCTGGGGGCTGCCAGGACCTTGCTTGCAGATCAAGCTTGCCAGTCTCTGGAAATTCAGGCTGTTTAGCTACGTGTCCCGCGGGAATCGCTGCAGGGGAGGAGAGCGGTGCTGAGCACAACCCCGGCTGCCGAGATCTGCCCCGTGCCACGAGCGGTGACTGTGACATGGAGCTGGGCCAGCACTGCTGGGTCGGTCACCTCTTGGTGAGCACCAGGACCTGTCTCAGCCCGGGGGTGACACGTTACCGGCCTGGCAGCGCTGGCGTCGGGGGGGGGAAGTGGCAGGAGAGGAGCTTTATGCTGGCACCGGGAGCTGAGCCGGCTGGCAGCCTGCACTGGCTGCCTTGCCTCCCAGATGAGGCTTGCCCAGAAAAAAAATGGCCCTATTTAAAAAGAGATTGGCTTCTTTTGGGCAAAATCAGAGCCCAGAGTGCCGAGGGAGTGGGGCCAGGGCTGCAGAGCATGCTGTGAACACGGGCCCTCCCCAGCTCGGCAGCCCCAGAAGAGCAATGCAGCGGCTCAGCGTGGCGTGAAGGTCTCAGGAGCAAGTGCTGGGTGTCCTTGAACCCAGCCATGCGTCTCAGCAGATTTTGGGGCATTGCACCCTGCCAGGAAGCCTGTGTACCCCCACGGCGTGGCTTCACAGCACCCCTGTGGCTCCATGGGCAGACATCATTGCAGTTATTTGGGGAGCAGCTCAGATTTGCTGCCCCTTGCCTGGTCTCCCCTGGATGCCTAACCAGAGCACCCTGGGCCCAATCTGGAGGTGGGTCCCCTTCCCTCAGACGCAGGGCACTGCGCAGAGCCAGGGCTGGGGCAGTCCCAGCACCGTGGTGAGTTTATTCCCCGCACATGGCCCCGCCACGCTTGTTTATTCATCCAAGGGTGAGCATGGAATGACCTTGAAATTTATAGGCTGAAGAGAGCAGTGAAATAACAGCTAAAATAAACAAATCAAGCTGTAAAGCTTGAAAACTATGAACTGGCTTCAGCAAATTGGAGTCAGGAGGGAGAGAAAGCAGAGATGGCCTGGAGAGATGTGGTCCCCCGGGTCTCGACAGAAGCTCAGGAGCTGGACACACCGAGGGTTTGACCCATGGGCATCACACTCCTCCATCCCCACCCCATTTTGGTGGCACCATGGAGATGCCCACCTTGCACTGTTTGCACAGGGTCTCAGCACAGCCAGCTGAGTGTCTACCAGACAGCTCAAACAGCCAAGGGGAAGAGCAAGTGGCAAGGGTGCTGGGCTGCACAGCCGCCGGGCTGAACACCAAATCCCATCCAAACCCAGCCTCTCATCTTTCATGTGATCCGAGCACCCCAGCCACGTGCATGTGGTGGCTTGCCCAGGCTTTAGCAGCTTGATAAAAGACGCAGAAGCATGAGGAAGAGGAACATGAGGCTGATCCGAAGCTCTGGGTGAGCACCATGTGTGAGTTCCGGAGAATGGCGTGATGCCGAAATTCAGTGCGAACTGGTCACCCTGCTCTGTAACTCCAGGCTCCAGTTCTCCCTCGGGTTTATTCTGGACAACAGCAGATTTATGAGAATTAGTGTAGGGGATGAGTGAAAGAGGGCTAGAGAGCCTGATGAGCCGCAGATGCTGGTCTCATTTGAGCATGGAGCCCTGCAGGAGTTGCCTTTGGAAAGCAGGATTTGAATCCCATCCCATTCTCCAGCTCCCCTTGGCCTCGTCATCTTGTGGCAAAGCTGTCCCGGTTGCTAGCTGGGCACTGCTGGGCCAGGTTGTGTTCTCCTCTGTGCCTGCCCTCGTAGACCAAAATGGCCCTGGGACACCTGCAGCCCACCAAGGTTGAAGTTGAGACACCTCCCCAGCAGCTGTGGGTCTCCTGTGCTTGGGGCAGGTTTTCCTGTTGAGCAACCTCCTGTTGGACAGGCGTCCTCATGGTGGATGCTGAGATCTTTGGAGCGGTAGTTGCCATCTAAACAGGTTTGGGGCCAGGGCAGCAGCTTGCAGGGCTGGAAGCCCAAGTGCATGATGTGTTCAAGAGCCCCAATTCTCAGCAGCGAGCAGCGGTCCAGCACGTTCCTCTCCGATGCAGAGGATGTCCTCTAGACTCGGCAGTGTAAAACAGAGGGGTTCAGGGCATGGGGGCAGCGATGGCACGCGGAGCTTGAACATGGCATTGCCGGATTGACATGAGTGTTTTGTGTCCAGGTTGCTGTCCCCCCGGCCCAGCCTGCTCAACACCGCCAGCGATGCCAGGCTGAACTCCTCGCCGCAGAAGCCGCTGGACCTGAAACAGCTGAAGCAGCGTGCTGCTGCCATCCCTCCCATCGTGAGTAACCCCACCAGAGAGGGCCGGGACTGGGACCACGATGGCCGCGTGTGCCTCGTCCATGCTCTTCCATTCGGGCTGCATCCCCTGCGTGTGGCAACGGGTCAGGGGTTGCAAGGATGTGCTCATCGCCACGGGTGGCCGAGCTCCTGGTCTGCAGAGAGCTGTGCCTGGGCAGTGCAAGCCCCCGGCAGGCGAGGGGCTCTCCGTGCAGAGCATGTTCCCAGCTGTGGGAGCAGCTCCTCCAGCAACGCTTGGATGTCCCTTGAGCTCTTTTATCAGAAAGTCGTGGGAGGTCTGGACAGAAAAAGCTTCTTGTTGCCACATGACTGCTGCCTCCCGTTGCTTTAAAAAGCGAGTGTGCACCTTCCCAGCCCTGTGCTTCTCTTCATCTCATGTTCTTGAAGGGTATACCACATAAGAAATATTTATGCTCTACCTCATCCAGAAGCTCTGGTCCCCCTTTTTGGCTACCCAGAGCCAAAAGAACGTGTATTCTCCAAAATTGATGGTTTCTTCTGGTGCGGTGGCTTGGGCTGTGACAAAAAGCGCCCTGATATCTCCAGGGTCAACACCAGAGGAGCAGCAGCACAGGGTGGGCCGAGAGGAAATCCCTGCTTTGGGGTTTTGAGTACGCAGGGAGGAACCATTCCTGATGCTCTTCCAGTTTCCCATGTTACAGCTTAAGATACGGCTGCTGTAATGTAACTTCTGGCAAAAGCTACAAGCACTGAACTGTAGATTAGAGGTTTTAAACATGGGAAGTCTGAGGCTGTCCTATAGTGTCACCAGCACAGAGCTGATACTCTTTGTTGTGGCCTTTTTTAATCTCCTGTGGCTGGTGAGCTGTGGAGCCCTGTTTGGGCCAGTAAGTCTTGCAGTGATAGCGTGGGGCCGTGCTTCTCGTAGCACCTTGATGTCTCCAAGACTGTTGTGGATGTCAGCTGCACATGACAGGTGTCACCAATTCTTATTGCTTTGCAGATTTCCGAAGGTTTCTCAGAAGGGCTGTTGCAGAGTGGAAGTGTGAAGCCTCAGGTGCCTCCCCATGCCTTGGCCCTCTACCAGCAGCAGATCACAAAAGCCCACGAGTCTGCCCGCGAGGACATGCCCCCGAGCAAGCTATCGCAGTCCCAGCAGCAGCAAGCTGAGAAGGAGCAGCAGCAGCCAAGCAGCAGTCCCAGGGGAAAGAGCAGGAGCCCCGCTGTTGGTGACAAGGAAGGTAGGGGTTGCATGTGTTGGAGCGTGTTTATCTTCACAGAAATGCCCAGTGTGTGCAGCTGTACGCAGCCGGCAGCTTTCCCCCTCTTAGGTGAAAGCTTGCTTCAACCCTTGAAAGCTCTTTAATAGCATCTTGAAGCAGGACGAGAGAAGCATGGCTAGTTTCCCATGTTCATTAGACGGTACATCATGTCTCATTGAGCCTACAGCAAACACCGGGCCAGTGTTGAGCACTGAGGAGGTGAAGATTGCCTTTATTAGTGTCTCTGCCATTCACTTGAGAGCAAAGGGGCCTGGAGGCATGCCAGGGCTCCGGGTACAATGGCTCTTTTCTACCTTGCTGGCTTTCTATAAAGAATGCTTTTAATGCTCAGCAGGGACCATTATTTCATTTAAAATCAATGCTAATACTGTGACTCGGAGTCCAAAGGTTCCTGTAAAGATTCCCGGTGCTTTCTCCCCGGAATAGCTCTGATGTGGTTTGGCTGCCTAATGAGCAATTCAGAGTTTCCCACCGTAGAGCATCTGAAGCATTATTAGCTTGAGCACCTGGGGATCAAGGTTAAGGAGAGACGGGAAGTCCTGATGAGACCATCCTCTAAATGTGTTTTTAATCTGAGTGTCAGAGTCTGTTCTAGTTCAGAGTTAGTGTTCCTGCCCCTCATAGCCAGCCTGCGGTTCAGTTGGGTGTGAAGATGAGATGCTGTCACCAGTGGCGCGATCAGAGGAGCAGGAAAGTCGGGCTGGGTGGGTGTGATGTTCCCCGGCGCTGGATCCCGCATGAGGATGGGTGCAGCTGCAGAAATTCCCTGCTTATGCATGGAGATGGTAGGTGGGTAAGACTACACTGATGAGGTAGATCTGCACTGGACCTAGGCTGTGATCTTTGCTGGAAAATCACTAAACTAGTTCACCTTCTGGCAGCCAGGATCTTAGTAGCTTGCCCTGCACTGTCCAGGCCCAGGTATTTATTCCTCAAGCTGTCATGTCCCCCTGGACAGAACGATGTGCTTGCAAGAAGAGTTGGTTGCAGACGCTCAGCCAAATTTTCTTTAAACAATAAATAGCGCCATGTGTGCATCACACCTCCAGAATGTTTTGCATATAAGCAAGGAAGGTGACTTCTCACCTTGAAAGAAAGGGAGTTCCCCCCGAGTCGTGGTGTTGCCAGCCATGAAGTCCCATTTCCAGCTGATCTCATCCAGCTGTGCCCATGTTTGCTGCCCAGGTGGAGCAGTTCCCCTCCAGCTCTTCCCCCCCCAGCAGCAGCTAATCAGGTTTGATCTCCTTCTGCGCTGTAATCCTGTGTGGATCTGGTCTTGCACAGCTCAGCTTCCTCTGCATCGCCCGTGTCCCAGTGCTGCCGCTCCAGCTCCCTCCTGGCCGCAGGAGGATGAGGAGATGAGGCAGATTTGTGTGTGTTAGGTACAAGGCAGGCTCTCAGGGTTGGAGATTAACCATGCCATTCTGTGACCTGTTGACACCATTATTAAATGCAAAGGTCTGGTAACCAGGTGGATTTGTCTGATAGCCAGGTGGATTTTTTTATGACTTTGTTATCTACAAAGCACTAATGCTACGAAGCACTTTAATCTCTCCTTTCACACCTCTGTCTTGCTCTGAATCCTCTGTGTTAATGAAACCAATTACCCTTCCCTGTACCCCTGCAAACATCTCGGCAGGTCTTGGGCTCCTGCTGTGTGATCTCTAAGCCCTGTGTAGCTGTGCACGCGTGCTGCCTACCAGTGTGGGTCTGGGTTGCACAGGGACCTGAGGGAATCATAGCCTGGTCTTCTCTGTTCATGGTGGGAAGGCATCTCCCATTTGAAAACTACCAGGTTTCTGATGAGTCACCCGAAGAGGAGAAATCAAGTCCTCCAAAGCCCTGATTTCAGTATGGATATGGATTCAAGCGGCGGCTCAGTGCTGTCTCTGCCTCTTGGAGCACATCCCAGCTGTGGATCAGGGGTTAGAGGGGAGATAGCCAAATAGTCCTGGCAAATCTGTGAACGTCCCTTCCCTTCCCCGCTCTCCGAGGCGTCCCAGTGAAGTGGCAAGCGTCCAGACTGCAGCCATCGTGCTGCCCCACCGCCTCTACATGGGCCTCACGTTAAAACGAGAGAGTCCACCACAGCCTGCGAAGCCTTCGGGAGAGCGGCCCCGTGCCACCTCCGCGCACGGGGCCAGCTCCGCCGGAGCAGGTACTTCCGTTCCTCCCCCTGCTCGATAAGAGAGCTTGAACTCTTGCAACCGCTCCAGAGATCAACATCCTTCACACCGCTCTGGATCCGCTTCAAAGCCAAGTCTTGCACACATCCTGGCCGAGGCGTTGGCTGCCTCGCAGCCGCTGGCTGGGGCCGTATCGGTTTGGAGGGCGGCCAGCCGAGCCGTACCTTCCTGAGCGCTGCCCTCCCCTGCCTTCCAAGACGAGCTGCTAATCGCGGGGCCAGGCAGAAGCAGGCAGCCCTGCCTGGATCTCACCGACAGGCAGACAGATCCCTTTTTCCATTGCCGAGTCGCCGTCGGGCATATCTTTGGTTATCGCTCGGCGGTTTGAAAGCCAGCGGTATGTTTTGTGTTGATTTAGTTGTGTTTCATTTGGCCTTTGTAGGCGATGGGGAGCCAAGACCATTAATTTGGATGACGGATCATATAAACTCTGACTCCTTCACTCCCATTCCAGGGGCTTGATAAACGGTAATAGGAACTCTCTCTTCCCCGCGTAAGTGCTATTTTATCAAAAGCTGGCTGAGTTATAGCCGCCCTCTAATGCAGGGGCAATTAGGAATTGGCTGCATTTCACAGGCTGGAGAGGCACATAGGGGAGGGGATGGCTCCCATGGGGAGGGGAGGAGGATGAGGCTCTCCAAGAGCCATCCAGGGTGCATGTAGCCTTGGCTGACCGAGCCTTGGCGGTGGAGAACACCTTCAGCTGGGACATCCCAGTGCCGTTCGCCCCCGCATGAGCAGAGCCAAGCAGGGCTGAGCTGAAGGGGAGAAAATCGGGGAATGTGGATGTGCCAGGGACTCACTGTTGGTCTGGAGGATATGCCTGGTTTCCCCCACACTGGCAGGACAACGGGATCCTCTCTAGGATCCAGCGTGGGGAGAGAAGAGGCTGCAGCTGAGGCCCGGCCCCACCGGGCTGCAGAGGTGTGAGTGCCCAGACACCTCTGTGTGCCGATAATGGATTTCTTCTCTCACTGAAGGGGACAAGAATAATCCCCCAGCTTCTGAGTACACTGAGCATTAATAGCGATAATGCAGTAATGCCTCATTAAATTGGGCCTCTGATAATCTACTTGCCCTGTTATTAGGCTTAGCAGGATTTCAGGCATCTATTTTTATCAAAAATTGATGGTTGAAGGCAGGGTTAATTTGTGATTGCTATTTACTGACCAGTTGCTAATTCCTGGTCAATGTGGATGTTATGTAGGTGGGTCTGGGGAAGAAGGGCAGTGCAAAACCAGGTGTTTATCAATTACAAGTAAATCCTACCAAACCTGCCTCTAATCCATCCAGAAAAGGCTGTCTCATCTGTCTGCTCAGCAAAGTGTGAGGATGCACTTGGGATGGAGCTGGTGCAGATGAAGCCCCTCTTTTCCCCAGCACCCTGCAGAGCATGGCAGGGTTTGGGCACCCACAGCACAGCTCCTCCATCATTAAGCACTTCTTGGCCTCCAATCAGCCATTTCATAGCCAGGGTGAACCCAGCCTGGCATCCAGTGTACCCTGAGCTAGATAATTGCAGGAAGTTTCCTGCCCCCAGCCCAGGTGCCTTGCAGAGGACCAGCAAGTCACCTCACTCCCCGCAGAGGCATCTGGTCATCCCGCAGAGCCCGTCTTGATCTTCATTTGCCTTTCACAGTCTCGTACAGTGTGGTTGTCCCAGGTGTTTGGAGAACATCTGCACATTATTCCCTTGCTGCCAGAGAAGCTGATGCCGTTATTTCTGGCCACTTCCCCCAGCCTACAAATGGTTCATGGCCAGCAGCCATCCTTTAAGAGCGGCTGAGCTTTCGCATCGTGATGTGGTGTGGGGATGAGCTTGTTCCCAGAGTGCTGGTGTGTGGTGGTCCCTGGCCGTGGCCTGGGGCTCCCCAGGCACCCCATGTCCAGCTGCACACCGCAGACCCTGTCATCACCAGCAAGCCAGTGCCTTCTGGGTGTCTCCCACATGCCAGAGGGATGCCAGTGTCGGTGCCTCTTGGCTTTAACTTCAGTGGAGGGTTTGGCAGGATCATCATTAATTCCCCCAGCCCTGCCGTGGTGGCTGATGCGGAGCTGTGGGCACAGCCGGGAGCTGCCCGGGAGTGGTTTGCACGTGGCCAGGCCCTGGAGAGGAGCTGGACATTGTGCTCATCCCAGTGACCGGCTGCACACTGACTGGGTGGGGTGGGATGTCTGCGGAGGTCCTGGCTGGCAGTGAGCACCAGCAGAGTCACCAACACGGACATCTGTCCTCCTGGCTGCGCTTTAAGCATCTGAGTAAAATGAACACTGTCAAATCCAGGCAGTGACACTGAGGCTTTTGCTTTTTCGTTTGGTTGGGGAATTCAGCCCTCATCTCATGGCCAGGTCGGACTGAACTGAAGCCACTTCCCACGCTGCCCGTGGGGGCCGCTGAGCAAGCTGGTTGCTTTCTGTTTCCCTTGCAGAAAAGTCCGTGCATTTCTCATCCATCGCAGAGGCTCAGAAGCTGAGCGCGGAGCCGACGGCCGCCTCGTGCTGGCCCCCTGTCCTGTCCTACTCCCGGGATGTGATAAAAACCTCTCCCCAGGTGGAACCGCACTTGTTTCAGTATAACCCACCAGGCAAGTAAAAGCCACCGGCTGCGTGGCACGTGCCCTCCATCCCGAGCCAGGCTGGAGCACGGAGGCCGTGGTTGCAGCCAGTGTCACAGGTCACACTCTTAAGTCAATGCAGCTTTTGGGAGGGGGTGAGAGAAGAGAGCTCAGCAGAAAGCTGCTAACACCTTGCTTTGGCCTGGCGTGGAGCTCCCTCACTGCTAATGCAGCAGTCTGAGGGTGGCCAGGCAGATCTCCCAGCTCTGGCCAGGGCAGGTTTAGGGAGATGGTTTGTCACAGAACAGTGTGGATGCTCCCTACGCCGCCCTCAGTGTGAGGTCGGGCAGGTTTTACCCCTCGCTGTGCTGTCCCTCTCCAGCTGGAGGGCAGACGAGTCGAGTATAGAACATCCTTGGGCTGAAGAGGGGACGGGGCAGTCATTTTCCAATCCCTTCCAAAACAATTGTGTTACTTGGATCCTAGTGCAGGCTCACAGACGGCCAGTTCACCGCATCCAGCCCCTGCACCTTCCCTTGCCCCGGTTCTCTCCGATAGCCGCTGCCACTCTGCCTCCCCTCGGACTTCCTAACGCTCGTGTTTTCCACACAGGACATCCCATCCCGCTAAACCTGCATGAGAGCTCTCGCTCGGGGCTGCAGAGGCTAGCGAGCATCTCCAACCCTCCTCCCCTCATCTCCTCCACCAAGCACCCCTCCGTGCTGGAGAGACCCGTCGGATCCATTTCCCAGGTAGGGTATTGGGTATGAGCGGTGGAGACGCCTTGCAGGGACCGGCAGCCGCCCCTGACCTCTCCTCTCGCACCGCAGGGCATGCCCATCCAGCTCCACACGCCCTACAGCTCCGAGCACGCCAAGGTCCCCGTCGGCTCCATCACCATGGGCCTGCCGCTGACCATGGATCCCAAGAAACTGGGTAAGAAACTGGGAGGTGAGTGATTTCTCATGTGCTCCGAGAGCAGCGGGGAGCGAGCTTGCTGGCAGTGTAGGGGAAAGGAGGGGCACAGGACACAGCAAGGGAGCACAGACAGACCTGCTAAGAGGATGAAAGATATTAGTTCATCATGAGAGCAGAGACACAGGGAGCTGAATTTCTGCAGTATAGGAAAGCAGCAGCTCAGTCAGGGAGGCATCTCAGCCTGTAAATACCCTCTAGCTAATACTGTGATTGAAAGAAGGAAATATATTGCCTCTCCCCAGGCTGGTAGGATAAAGAGTAAACAGCCTGAAGTGAACAAAGAAAGTGTTTAGTCTGCAGTTTTGGAAGCATTTCTTAACAGCAGGAGGAGTTAGAGCAGGACTGAGTCTGGGGAGGGGGATCTAGGCCTTATTTCCTGGTGTGCACAGGTCCCATTATAAACCAGCACTTGGTTTTCAATGCCAGCTCCACTCCTGGTGCAGGCAGCACCCGGCAGTGCCTTCGCCAGGGTGAGAACAAGGATCTGGCTTTGCTTGCCGACCGCTGCAGCCCTGGTGAAGGCCATCCCGAAGCAGTGGGGACGGTGAAGGCGCCGAGGAGGTGCCAACCCGGGGCTGGCAGAGATGAAAGCCTCGAGCAGCCAAGGCCTGCACCTACGCTGATACGTGGTTAATGTTTTCCAGTGCCTTTTCCTGGAGTAAAGCAGGAACAACTTTCTCCTAGAAGCCAGGCCAGCCAGCCAGAAAGTCTGGTTCTGCAGCCGTCCCAGGAGGGCTCCATCCTGCGGGGTGAGGAGCCGGGGGTGGGAGGTGCGGGGCCCGGCTGCGGGAGGGGAGGGATGCTGGCACTGCCAAGCCTGGCAAACGCCGCGCTGGCTGCGGCTGCTCGGTGATTTGGGGTTTGATTTCTGGGGTCATGCCCAGCCAAAAGGGTCTCTTTTGCCCCCTTTGTCCGACGTTGCCAGCGGGGTGGAAGTTAGGTCTATACAACGTCTCAATGTTTCTAGCTGTCTCCCCAAATCAGGGTCTTGTGCACTGATCCTGGTAGAGGCTTTGTGTTCCAGGGGCACCGCAAAATCTGTTGGTTAAGAAAAAGCAAGACCTGTTTAAATGCCATTAATTGGGTTTCAGGTTCTTCACTGTTGTTGCTACAGCTGGGCAGGGACCACATTTCACTTCAATCTAGCCCTCCCATGTTTCTTTCCCCATTAGCTAGGCAGAAGAAAATAAATGCAAAGGTGTTGCTTTTAAGTGCAAATTCTGGTTTGTGAAACCCCCCAACTAAGGCAGTCGGATGCACGAGTGCAGTGGGCTGGCTCCAACCCGGCACAGATAACAAGCAAATGAACTCAAACCACCCCGAGCTTCATCTCACCAGAGATCTGCTCTGATCGCATCAGGAGAGGCTGAGACAGCCTGTGCTTTCTCCCAGGCCCATAAATCTGCCCAGCCCCTCCATGAAGGCAGCAGGGAGCTTACAGCTTCAAAACACCCATTTTTTTACCATCTCCTAGCCCCAGGCTTGCAGGGGAGCAGGTTGGGAAGGGCTCTGCAAAGCATCAGATTTAACACTGACATCTCTTGGAGGGCTTCCTCTCCAGTACCTCAGCTTGCTAGAGATTGGGTCAAATCCTGTGCTTAGTCAGTAGTCTCAGCCCCACAGGTTTTATGCTGAAGGGCAAATCCAGCCCCCAGCTCACTGTTTTTTTGTCCTACAGGTACTTCCCTCAGCTCTGCCTCGGGAGGGAGCATCACCAAGGGAACACCCACATCCAGACCCCCTCCGGAGTCGCCCATCACCTACCGAGGGTCCATCACACACGTAAGTTCCTCATCTCTGGCGGGTTTTGGTTCCTGGGTGCCTCTTGCAGTGCTGGATGTGGGGACTGGGGGATTTGTGGGGCGCACTGAGTGTGCGGCACGGGGCTGAGCAGTGTGGATCTGCAATGCTCCCACCCCAGGGATCTCCTCGGAGAGGTCTGCAGCCAGAGCCTCTGCAAACAGCCTCCACTCGGGCTGTCACCACCCCTGTCCCATGACCTGAGCCTGCAGGAGAGCAGAGCTCGACCAGCAGCAATGCAGAGCTTTACAGCACATCTCAACCCCTCTTTGCTTTTCATAGCTGTGAGGAACAGAGGCGAACGCAGCTTTAAATGACTCTGGGAAAATAATCTTGCCAGAGCAAGAAATTGGAGTGGAGAGGAAGAGGAGATGGGCGGAGGGCCCAGGCCAGGCGGAGGAGAGGGGGAGGCTGCAAGGTGCACGTAAGGTAGCGAGGTCTCCTGCCAGGGCTGAGCGTGCTGCACTGGGGGGGTCCTGCCCAAAGGCTCTCTTGAGCAGGAAGATACTTTGGCCTTAATCTCCACCATCCATCTTCAGAAGAGCAGCTGGCAAGCGGGAGATAGTTTTTTGCAGTGTGAGTTATTGCTCATCTGGTAACACAGCGGAGAGCATTAAAAAAAAAAAAAAATATCTGGCCATCATTCAAATATTTAAAGCCACTCATGCTCAGATTTTTGCCTGCCTCCTTCAAGGAGTATGACCGTTGTTCCCTTTGGCCGTGGAGTCCTGAACCTGAATCCTGGCCCAGAGCAAAGGCTTAACTTGCCTGGTGCCCTGCATCCAACAGCTGCCAGGAGCGGGTGCTCGGGGGCTGTAAATAACCCATCAGAGCAAATGCAGGCTCCATCCCCTCGCGTGCTCCTGCAGCAGCTACGGGCAGCAATGGGTAGGTATGAAAAGTCTTGAGCACCACGTGCCAGAGATCAGATGAGCCGAATTTGCCTAGACATTATTTTACATCCATCTAGACTGTTTTCTTTGGCTTGAGAATAAGGTACCAAGCCCAAACCCAAGGCATTACCTGCCTCTCCTGCTGGCTCACCAGCCTGCATCCCTCTGCTCCTGTTGTGGGGAAGGAGCCCCTCGTTCCGGCAGCATCTCCGGGTACCAGAGCTGATATTTGATCTCAGATTAGTCATCCAGTTCACAGAAGGCAAATCTTGAATATACGCTCTCTGCTCTGAAGCCATCTGTCATCACTTGCTTTCAAATCCCCTCTGAGCACGTCTGCGGAAGGAAGATGACTTACCTGGGGCTGGCACGGTCGGCTGGGAAAGCCACTACTGGGTGTACAGCGAGGGCAAACGATCAGAGCGTTGAACCTGCGTGCTGGCATGTCCTGGCAGCTGTGGTGGGGGTTTGGGGACCACTGGTGCTCAGAGGGCTTGGTACAGATTAGGGGCATCACCATGCTGAGGTGGGGAAATAGCTTGCCCTGGCACAATGTGGAAGCAGGGGCAAAGCTGGCTGGGGCATCACTTCCCACGAGCATCAGTCCTGGGGGTTGGTGGGGTTAAATGAGCAGAGCAGGCAGATGTCAATCAAGAGCTTCGCTTTGACAGCAGTGCTGTGCCCTCCCTGCGGTGGGGTGGGGGACCATCACCCCATGGTGGCTGTTCTCGGTTGGCACCGACAGGCCGTGATGGCAGAGGGGTGTTAATCACCAGGAACGTCTTCAAGGGCACCCAGCTCTGAGTGTTTTGAAGGGGATTCGGAGCAGGGCGGGTGACAGTGAGCTGTGTCTGTGTGTGCCTCTGGGGAAAGAGAGGTTTCGGTTCACACCAGTTTGTGTACAGAGCCTGATGCTGTTTCTGTTGGAGATCCAACCGGCAGCTTTCGCTCCCCGACCTGCTCCAGGACCGGTCTGGGTGACGCCTGGTGTCTCACCAGGCGTGCTGCCAGCCGCCAGCTCCTGCGCCCAGGCAGATCCCTCAAGGTCACACTCGCTGCCCACAGGTGTGCCCCAGGTGGGCAGGACATCTCCATGGCTCCTGTACCAGGCTTGGGGAAACAGGCTGCAGGGAAAAAACCTTAACGCTCGAGCAGTCCCTGCTGTCACTGGGGTGTCCCCAGGGAGGCACCACCCCGTCCTCCTAAATCTGTGGGGTGGAAGCAAGCCAGGTAGCTTACTCCAAAACACACAGGGCGGGAGTTGCTGTTTTGGAGGACCACACTGTCCTCGCCCCCTGCCTCTTCCCAGCAGCCTCACACAGATCACGTACCTTTTTACCGCTCCTCATTATCGTCCTCATCAATAATTAAGCTGCAAGTCCCCCGCTGTTGGCTGCGCCAGGAAGCGGAGGCCGGGCGCGCTCTCCCTCCGCTCAGCCTCCTGCGGGGAACAGCCTGTCCCCGTGCACGCGCTTGCTTAATTGCTTGTGACACTGTTAAATATGGATCTTGGTGGCTTTCCAAGGGCACCCCGGCAGAAGTGCTGTACAAAGGAACCATTACCAGGATAATCGGAGAAGACAGCCCCAGCAGAGCAGAGAAGGCGAGAGAGGATGCCATGCCCAAAGGACATGTCATCTACGAAGGGAAGAAAGGCCACGTGCTGTCCTATGAGGGTAAGTCGTAATCCTCTGCCTTTTTAGGGCAGGCACCAGGGGTTTGTGCTGCCGTGGCTGGGAGTCGGGAGCTATTTGAGGAAAGGCTGACGAAGTGCAACGGGCCAGCCTCGCGTCTTTGCTTCCAGCGTCATTTCTCTCCCTTCCCATCCTGCCTGCCTACAGCCTGCCTGGGTTTCCCTCTGTCCCGTGTGGTTATCTCGCCTTGGAGGTGGCTTTGCCAGCAGGCAGGGGCACAGTGGGACTGTGGACATGGACAGGGTCTCTGGTTTTGGTTGGTTTTGGGGAGCAGGAGAGAGGAGAGGACCGAATGGGAAGGTATTGCCTTCATCCCTATCACGCTGTGCAGGAGAGGACTGTCCAAAAACGTCACAAGAGCATCCCCAGGCTCTTGGGCCCGAGGTGGCACTCAGGAACCTGGAAGATAGAGGCAAGTCAGGTAGTTTGGCATAAAGGTTTATTTGGACATCAGATTCCCACCTGCAGTGTCTTGGGCAGCATGCAGCTTTCCCAGCATGGGGCTGCCCTGCAGGAATCCTGGGCCCAGCAGCACCGTGCCTCAGCATCACCTGAGCTTTGCTACAGCATCTGTAGGTATCGGAGGGGGTGAAACCCTTCCTGCATCCCACAGGCAGCCTGTCTAGGGGGGGTGCATTGGCCTGTTGCCAGCTGCTATCACCCAGAGGTGCTGAGGAACCTGCCCTGAGCCCCATCTGGGGTGAGAAGGTGCCCCCGGCACAGACGGTGTCACTTGGTAACCGGGCTGACCCTGCCTGGCTGGGGAGCAGTGCCAACAGAGTACGGCAAAGCAACGCCGGGCGAGCAGCCGGGCTGCTCCCGAGGGGGCTCTGGAGAGACCCAAAAGCCATGTTGGAGCTTGCACCCCCACTGCACGGTAACGTGCTGCCTCGGTAAATGCCGACGGTGCCTCGCTGCGTTCGTGGCATCAGCAGGCAGTCACCAGCTGCTCCTGCCTCCTCTGCGCCTGCTCGTCCGATCGCGGCACCGGCCATCAAAGCTGCTCCACGAGTCCCAGTGGCTCCTGTTAGAGATGAGCAGATGTTCCTCTCCGGGGAAGCTGGAAGCAGGCTCCTCCATGCTTGCCTTGTGCCATGTGTTGGGCCGGGCATCACTGGCGTGCAGCCATGCTCCTCGCCTGCAGCCGGGGTCGGGAAGAGCTGACTTACAGACACCGCAGCCCCGCGTCCTCTTGGAGTAAAATACTGGCGTGTGCTCTGCCGTGCACGGGGACGGCTGTCCTCATGTGTCACCTCTGTTCTCAGTTGTGTTTGGAGATAAGTAAGGAGCAGATCTCACCCTCAGCCGCACTCACCCGCCTCATCAAGTATCTCTGGTCGGCTGCTGTGCTGCCCGAACCCTCTCCTTCCCTCCCCAGGGTGGCTGCGTCGATCCCCGTGGCAGAGCATCCCTTTTAGCCTGCCTGGCAGCCCGGGGTCAGTCCTGCAGGCAGAGAGTGTCCAACACAAGTCCCTTTCCTCTTGCTCACAAGTGCAGGCAGCTTGTTCTGTTGCAGGCTGGTTGTTTCATCTGGGCCTGGAGGTAGAGGGTTCAGGTCACGCCATGGGACAACTCGCATCCTTCAGCTGATGCCACCTCTGTGCGTGCCCTGGGACTGCAGGGAGCTTTCAGGACAGGGATCTGCGCCGGGCCTCTCACCCACCCTGTGGAAACCAGCTTGTCCCATGCCTGCCTGCATTTGCTGTCAACTCTAGCCCAGATAAAAATGTCACCACGGGAGACTTGTATCTGGGCACCCTTTGGGACAGTTGGCAGGGCTTGGACCAGGGAGGACGCAGGAAGCGTTTCAGGACTTGTTTGTGCAAGAAGCTATTTTAATCTCCTTTTCCCGGGCTTGGAGTCGAATGAGGTTGATCTGAAAACCAGTGCCACCAGGGAAGAGACGGGGAAGGCTCCCGTCAGTGAGGGCTGCCCATGCCCATTGCTGGGATCCCGCTCCAGGCAGCAGAGTTGATGTGCAGACCAGACTCTTCCCATCGCACACACTCATCAGTGTCAGCCCATCTCCCCAGTTGCAGCCTGAGCCCACTGCCTCTTGTCCTATTCCCCACGGACATGGATGAGGAATTCCTCCCTCTCCACGGCAGCCTTTTATATGCTTGATAGCGTTTATCACATCCTGAGTAATCTTGCCTGCTTCTGCAGGCTAGCCAGCCCTGCTGCCTCTCTCCTTCCCTCTGTACAGCCTGGTGGGGCTTTGCAGCCTGGAGTGGAAGAGTTAAAAAAAAAAAAATTAAATAAGAAAACTGAAATTGTTGGTGATTATGAATTTTGGCAAGCAGAAAAAAAATTGCAAATTCTTTAGTGTCATGAGGGTGCTTAAAATAAAAGAGCTGTAATGAGACGAGATCCTGTAGCATGTGCGAGCTGAATTGTGCTAGATTGGTTATTCTCATTCTGCATATGATTGCTGATGGCTTCTGCAAGGCAAGGGACGTGGGTTTGGAATGATTTTCTTTCTGTTTAGTCTCTCTTCTCCCTCACGCCCTCCCCCTGCTTCCCAGCGTTACAAAGGGTGCCCGGGACCGTGTCCCCTTCTGCAGAAGGGCTGTTGGCAACAGATGTGCCTTGATGACAGGGTGCAGACACATCTCCCTGCATCTGCTGCAAGGTGCTGGGCTGATTCTGAATGTCACCCCCAGATTTCTCCTGTCGAATGAATCTGAAGTGAAGGCTCAGGGACAGATCCCCCTCTTGTTTCCCCACACGCAGCCCCAAACACTTTCTGGATTGAGTGGGTGCTGATTGCGAAAACCAATAGTGGGTGTGAAGTTGTAATAATCCTGTTTTATTAATTACTGGTTTTGCCGAGGAAGACTTTTGTTCCCGATTGTCCGTGATGGAATTAATGTTTTTAACTTCTCCTGTGTTTTCACTAATTGTATAACCACCTTGTCTTCCCATGAAGAGGAAGATCAGGGCACTGGCAGTCCTTGGCAGGGACGGCCAGGCCAGAGATGATGGGCAGAGGCGTTTATCTCTCCAAGCCAACATCCCGGCTTGGTGCTCGTTATATAAACACCAAGGCATTCGGCTGGATCAGAAGCTGCCTGCTAAATTCACAGCTCGCCGCACATGATGGATGCCCATCGCCCAGGGTGGGCGTGATGCTGCCTGGCACAGACAGGGATGTGCTTGTCTGTAGCTCAGGACAGTTTTCCACTGTTAGTTTGCAGAAGAATCTGCTCCAGGTTGAGGCGAGGAGGTAGTTGGTGGTCTCCCATCACGCTAGTGCTTGCTTCATCAGTCCTGCGTGGGACTTTTCGCTGTCTCTCCCAGTTCTTGTGCGCACTCACCGCTGTTTCAAACGAATCATTCTCAGCTTTGCCTCTCCCCGCTTTTCCCTGATTTTCTCACCCAGGGAGTGTCTCGGCAAATGTTAAAGCTGGCCAAGATCCCAAACAGTAGGTGTCTAGCAAAAATCAAAACAAACAGGCTAAAAAAAAAAAATAAAAATCCCAGACCCACAGGGCCAAGTTCAGTGGAATCGCAGCTGCTCACAGCAGCGCCGTGCTGGCTCCGGGCTGTCCCGCTGCCTGCACCATGGCCCCCACTGGGGAGGGAGGGACACAACAGGGCGGATGCTCCTACCCGAGCGGGAGGCACAGATCTTGAGTCTGAAGCAGGCAGGGAGGGGAGAAAACACCAGCTGAATTTCTTGGAAGCCAACCTCGTGCAGTGTGTCTGGCGTTGCTGAGCGGTGGCTGATGCTGGGAAGGGATCTGACCTTCCAGCAACGCGTCGCAAACAGCAGTAAACACCCTCCCTTGGTCAGTGCTGTCTTTCCGTGCTCCTGAGGGTGCTTCTCGGTGTTCCCTTCCCCAGGTGGAGTTGCTGCTTCTCAGTGTCCCAAAGAAGACAGCAGGAGCTCAGGAGCTTCACATGAGACGACAGGAACCAAGCGGACTTACGATATGATGGAGGGGAGGATCAACCGGGGCTTATCAGCCCGTGATACCTTATCTGCCAGCATTGAAGGTGGGTCTGGGTGAAATCTTTCACCCATGCTGTTAGTAGTGACCCGCAGAGACCCCATCTTGTCTCTTGTCTACATCATGCACCTTCCCGTGCCCATGTTTCATCAGTGGTTAGCTGGTACCCCACAGCACATCCCAGCAGACAATATCTGACCAGCATGGGAAAGCAAGGGACACAGAGTGGCCTTTGGTTTCTGTCCTGGTAGACCAGTTTCAGGACTACAAAAAAAGGAAGCGCTTTTTAAGAGAAGAGAAATCAAGTAATTTAGAAATTGTTGATGTTTTCGCTTGTTGTCCCAGGAGTCTCTGATAACACTGTTGTGTATTCATTGTAAATGAACTCCTGTGTAACAACCTAACTTTCCCCCTTGGATCTGTTCTAGGACTCATGGGTCGAGCGATCCCTCCAGACCGACACAGTCCCCATAACCTAAAGGAGCAGCATCACATGCGGGGCTCAATTACACAAGGTAAAGCTTGCAAGCAGAAGATGGCCACAGCCAGAGGTAACGTGGGGAAGTATCTCATGCACATGGGCCCTTGTTCCTGTTGCCAGGCTAGAACAGGAGGAAACAAAGGTGGACACATCAATGTCCAGCTGCAGATCTCTGCAGCCTTGGCTAGGTGCTCAGAGAGATTTTCAGTCCTGCTCAGCTTCTACCAGCCTATGCTCTCACCAAAGTCAGGGGTAAAATTCTCAGTGACATGCATGAAGGCAGGTTGAAACTAGTGCAAAATGGGTCCAGAAAGTGGTGGTAGATGTGAGGTGGCCCAGCTGCATTAGTGATACAGCTGCTCTGTGTGCTCAGTTGGGTACCAGTCCCTGAGTTACATGCATTAACTGGAGACCCCATGGAACTGAGCATCTGCACGGGGACTGGGAGTCCAGTGTCTGGCTGGGGAATCACCCTCTCCATCCATCTTTCTTGGGGGTTGCAGGAATACCTCGGTCCTACGTGGAGGCCCATGAGGACTACCTCAGAAGAGAAGCCAAACAGCTCAAGAGGGAAAACACTCCACCGAGGGACTTACCTGATGCCTACAAGGTCAGGTCTCATGAGGGCCTTACTCCTCTGAAAATGAAACCAGCCCATGAAGGCCTGGTGGCCACGGTGAAAGAAGCAGGAAGATCAATCCATGAGATTCCCCGGGAGGAGCTGAGGCGGACACCAGACATCTCTCTGACGAGACCTCTGAAGGAAGGCTCCATCACGCAGGTGAGTATGGGGCGAACAGTGGATAAGATGGGTTCTGTTCAGGCTGCTGTCCTTGCACAGACCCCCGGGACCATTCCCAAGGTAAAAGGAGAGCAGAGAGGGCTTTGAGTTGCAAATATAGCCACTGGTCAGAATTGAAGCTCTGCTTGGGTACACATTGCCCTTCCCTGTGCTTTGAAGGGGTCCCTCCCAACTGAAATGGTTCTATGATCCTTCCCAGCACATACATACAAAACCCAGGGAAGGGAGCTCAGCAGCCCCTGACACATTAAGAAAGCGATGCTCCATCCACATGTGGACATGGAAGGGGACGTATTTGGCTCTTGTTCAAGGCCAGAGTCATCTCGGTGCCCTCAGCAGCTGTGACTCTGGGTGCACATAATCTTGGTCTCCTCCCTTTGTGGGCAAGTGTCAACCCAGCAAGGCCAGTAGTTAGGATGAAACGTGGCATGCCGTCTCCTGTTGGGCTCCAAATATTTGGAGGGTTCCCATGGCACCTCGTAGTCCTACCTCATTTCACAGTGTGTGTAGGAGAGAGGCGTGATGGGCACAGCCAGCCTTCAGCAGTGACTCATCATCATCTTGTTGGAGCACAACAAGACATGCAAGATGGGCACTCCACCCTGCCCTGCACCGTGTGGAGCTTTTATCTCTGCTTTGCCGATGGCTGTTGCTGTTTGACCAAGTAAACTGGTGGGCTGACCCACGGAACAAGATAGCACAAGTTCCATTGAAACTTGGTGGGATGCAGTCACTGCATCCCCTTCTGCTCTATGCCCCTTTGATGTCCCCTCTGCCTTCTGTCCCCAGGGTACTCCACTGAAGTATGACAGCGGTTCTTCCTCCTCGAGTACCAAAAAGCATGACGTGAGGTCCATCATTGGCAGTCCCGGCAGGACTTTTCACTCTGTGCACTCACTGGATGTCATCCAAGACCCGAGGAATCTGGAGAGAGCTTACGAAGAGAGCCTGAAAAACAGGCCAAGCCCGGTGACAAACTCGGGTGGCTCCATCGCCAGAGGGGCTCCTGTGATTGTACCCGAGCCAGGCAAGCCCCACCAAAGTGCCCTCGCCTACGAGGACCACCAGGCAGGGCACAGCACGGCGTTTGGCAGCCACTTACACAGAGGGTCTCCGGTCTCCACACGGGAGTCCACACCACGGCAGCATGAAGGTACTTGGCAAACCTTTTATTTGACACTAAGACTTCTAGCAAGCCAAGCGGGTAAGGTGTGCAGGAGGTGGCTGCTGACCCCACCTGCCCGAGCCGTTCCCAGCAGGTGCCCGTGGAACCTGTCCTCCCCAGCACCCCACACCCACTCTTGCCCACAGCCACTGCTGACTCATGTCCCTGGGGAGACTGCCAGGGACGGCTGGGGCTCAGCTCCCTTCTTGGGGGTGCTCACAGGGTTACAGCAAGGGCACCCCACCGGGGTAACCAAAGGGAGATTGGACTGTGGCTGGTGAAACTAGTGGTGTTTTGAAAGTGTCTTCCCTGTCCTAGCATTGCCCCAGGGCACCCCTGTTTCTGCAGGTGGGCAGGTAAGCAGTGCTTAGTGTACCAGCTGGGGCGATCTTAACAATTTTCACCCATCTGGTGTGTGTTTGCCTTCCTCGTGTGTTTATGCCTCGTCTGTCACCTGGGCATTCAAGTGCCTCACCCCCAGGAACATCTAATCCCTTCAGAGCCAGACCTGGGGCTCCTCGGGGACAGTCGTATGTCTAGGCTGGGCTTAGTGATCTGGTGAGACACACTCAGATCCAGAGCACAAAAAACCCTCTTGATTCATGGCATGTTTGTGGGCAGGATTAGTGCTGAAGCCAATTCCTAAGACACCTTGTCCCACCAAGCCTGCTGGGTACAGGTAACTGCTTCAGGGCCTTTTGCATCTCCCGCCTGCAAATCCTTGTCCTAACCCAAAAGTCTTGTGATCTGGGGGTGTGCAGCACAAGACATCGCAGTCTGCTGAAAACCGAGGCCAGGACACACCTCCCCGGCGAGGAGTGGGAGATGGGGCTGTGCAATGCAGAGCTCCTCCAAAAAGCCTCCCGCATCGCTCGCTGCCAGCTGGGCCAGCTCCAGCTCTCCAGGGCTGATGTGTCCCGTTGCCACAGCCTCTGCTGTCTTCCCAGTTAAGCCAGTCATTCTGGGGGAAGCCTTCAGGTGTCGACGGCTCTTTGAGATTGGCATATACAGTGAGCACAGCGCAGGGCAGCACCTGGGCAGTGGGGAGGGATCCCAAGGCAAAAAAATCAACATTCCTGCAAGACTCCAGTGGGAAGGGGGATTTCTGCATGCCTGGAGTTCACAAGGTTTTGGGGTGCAAAGGGTCTGCAGGAGGAGTCCCTGCGGCGTGGCTTGGAGTTGGAAGTCACTTTTCCCTGAGTTGCCTGAGCTTTCCTTCTGCCCCAGCAGTAGATTTGATTTATTAGCAGTTGCGCTGAGATGCCAAGCCTCATGAAAAGAGCGGGAGCAGCACTTCACGTGGCCCGTGTTGCAGCCCAGGTTGTTTTAAAGTCATCAGTGATGGGGCTTGTATCCTTCTGCCTGCAGGTGAGAAGGCTCTTCCTTGCTCCCCAAGCCAGGGCTGGGCAGTGTTTGGTGTACAGTCTGGTGCGTGGCATTTGGTCACGCTACTTGGGGTGGCTCCGTGTCAGTCACTGTCCCCAGCCTGCTGTTACGGACACAGGAGCTGATGACACTCATCCCTGGTTGGGCGAGAAGTGCCACCAATACCCAGCTCAGGTTGGGAGAGCAGAGAGAAGTCACTGACATGATCCAAGCCTCCCCTCCCTGTGCTGGAAAAGAGCTTGGGGCTCCAGAGGGTGACAGATGCTCAAACGCTCTGAACTGTGTTTCATCACCATTGCCAGGAGTTTTGGGGTCCCTTGCTCTGCCCAGCAGCGGTGACTTCCTCGTGCTGAGGAGCATGGCAACAAGGCTCCACCACCAGCTACTTGTGCAGGCCAGGAGGAACTCACAGACCACCCGGTGTGGATGCGCTGGGGTGAAGGGATGGTTTGGGACAGGCTTATCCTCCTGGGTGCAACAAGGATTTGGCCCGCCTTGGCCTTGGTGGCATAACAGGGCACAGCAGCGCGGGGGGGAGGGAAAGGTCCCTCGAGTTCAGGGTAGCTGCAAGCATCCCCGGGGGACACGCTTGGCTGCAGGCATCCCTTGGGGACGCAGCTTGGCAGCGGCGCTCAGTCTCTGACTCACTTCCTTCTGCGCTCTGCAGGGAGCATCACTGCCGGGAAGCCGGTGGCCCAGGACAGAAAGATCACCCCCACATCGAGAGAGCTCACCAACTCCAAGTCTCCGCACGCCCCCGTGGCTGACCACCACCACCCCATCTCCCCGTACGAGCACCTGCTCCGCGGCGTGAGCGGGGTCGACCTGTACCGAGGACACATCCCGCTGGCTTTCGACCCCGCTGCCATCCCGAGGGGCATCCAACTGGAAGCAGGTACCTTCAGCAGGGGCACGATCTGTTTGGGATTGGTTTTTCCCTGTTATGCTTCCCATGTCATGTTTCCCTTGTATGCTCTGAAAGCCTGAGGTCTCTGGGGAAAGCCACTTCATGTCTGCACCCTTTTCTCCCAGCTGCTGCTTACTACCTGCCGAGGCATCTGGCTCCGAGCCCCACGTACCCCCACCTCTACCCCCCGTACCTCATCCGGGGCTACCCGGACACGGCCGCCATGGAGAACCGACAGACCATCATCAACGACTACATCACGTCCCAGCAGATGCACCACAACGCCGCAGCCACCGCCATGGCGCAGCGGGCGGACATGCTGCGCGGCTTGTCGCCCCGGGAGCCCTCCCTCGCCCTCAACTATGCAGCAGGTCCTCCCAGCCTGGCACCATTCAGGGGTTTGGGGACATCTGGGTGTCAAGCTGGCACTGCCACCTCCAGCGCTGGGGCCCAGGGCCAAGCCAGCAGCACGGTGTCACCTAGCAGTGTGGGAATTTGGCTGCTCAGTGTGGCTGATGCTACCTGCAGCCCCCTCATTCAGTGGGGATAGATCTCAGCGTTTTCCTCCCCGTTATTTCCAGCAGCAGGACATGCTGTATTCACCCACAGAAGGGTCCCTTCCCCTGCCTGCCAGTGCCGGGGGGCCATGTGTGTGCTGGCACCTCCTGTGCTGCAGCAGGGATGGGTTAACCCTCCCCAGCACCGCTCCAGCATGGCCAAACTGCAACAGCCCAGTGTCATCCTGACAGTTCTTCCGCTTCTTTTTCCAGGCATCATCGACCTGTCCCAAGTGCCACACTTGCCCGTCCTTGTGCCCCCTACCCCCGGCACCTCTGCCACCACCATGGACCGTATCACCTACATCCCCGGGCCCCCCCAGACCTTCGGCAGCCGGCACAGCAGCTCCCCGCTCTCCCCAGGTAATGCTGCAGGTTGCTTTTCCCATGGGAAAGCGGTTGGGCAGGACACCCCTAACCAATTCAGGGGATGGACAGGGGGCAGAACACCCCTAACAAATTCATTCTCACTCAGGGACCAGCCCGCTGGCTCCCTCAGACCAGCTCCTCTGATCCTGCTTGTTGAGGGCTTCCTTGCTTTTCCCTCTTCTTCCCCAAAGTGGCTGCTGCCAGACAGCTTTGTGGAAGGTCATACTCTGGAGACGGTGCCAGGACAGCCGTTGTGTGATTTGCCTGGTTACCCCCATCTGTCCTGCTCCAGGTGACCTTGGATGGAGCTGTTCCCTATCTGCTCTGCAGACACAGCGATGTGAAGAGCAGGCAGTGTTCCCTGGGGGAAATTGCTCTGTCTGCAACCCTCTCACTGCCTTTCGGTTGGGTTTCAGGAGGCCCCACGCACATGACCAAACAGTCAGGATCGTCGGTGTCTGAGCGGGAACGGGAGCGGGAACGGGAGAGGGAGCGTGAAAAATCCATCCTAGCATCCACTACGGTGGAGCATGCACCCATCTGGAGACCAGGTAGGCTGAGGAGGAGCCTGGCACCACATCTTGGGGCCCATGCTGGGTGGAGATAGGGTTGGGGCTATAAAACAGAGCTAAAGAAGCCTTTCTTTGTATTTTCCCCCAGGTACGGAGCAGTCCAGCAGCCGTTCATCCTCGCACTCTCACAGCCACCAGCACTCTCCCGTCTCGCCCCGCACCCACGAGACCATCCAGCAGCGCCCCAGCGTGCTTCACAACACGAGCATGAAGATCATCTCCTCGGAGACCCCCACCCCTTCCGTCCTGCGGTACGTACCCCTGCCGTGGTTCCTGCTGCTTACCCGGACCCCTGCACCGGGGCAGCCGTGGCAGTTAATTGATGAGCATCACCCAGGGCACCTCTGAGACGGAGCGAGGGTTATTTTGGCCTTCAGGCTCAGCAGGAGCAGGATCAGGGCTTACAGGGAAGTTGTGATGGGGAGAAGCAGATTCTGGTGCCCAATTCCTTTGCTTTTCCTGGTGGGTTTACTACTACCAGGAAAGAAAGCAGGAGCATCCCTGTGCCCAAATACAGGTATCACTCCTCTTGCTGAAAGTTGCCTGGTAGTGAAGTTAGGAAGGTCTCTGAGACCTGCCCATGGGGTTTATTCTCTCCAATCAGTGCACTCAATACCCTGTGGCAGGTTACTGTGGCGGAGGCTCCATCTGAGCCCTCCTCACCTGCTCCAGCACAGGCCAACCCCACGCTCAGGAGGCCTGGAGGGATCTTGGCCAGAGTGGAACGCTGGGGCTCTGGCAACAGCACTCCCCTTTCTCCACGTGCTTCTCATCTTCACCTTGTCTTCGTTTGCCTTCCAGATCCTCCTCCACCACTACCACGTCACCGATCCGCTCTGCCGCCTTCCCCTCGGCCTCCACCCTGCGCTCCTCCATGAGCGCGGCGGACAGCTACGTGGCCCCGATGGACCCTGCCGTCCTGCAGAAAGAGGCCTCGAGGGCACGGGAAGCCAAGGCAGAACGACCCCAGACTGACAACAGCGTCTTCACCTCAAAGCTGCCCAGTGGGGCCAACCTCGAACAGTCGCCTTCACCCATTAAAGCCATGGAGTCGAGACCTTTACCCGCCCCCGGACCTGGTTCTTCTCATCACTATAGCAGAGGGCAGGGGAAAAGCCAGCAGCACCATCACCCTCTGGACCAGCAGCATGCAGCCTCGGGCCCCGAGCAGCACAGTAGAGAAAAGAGTCAAAGTAAACCCTTTTCAATGCAGGAACAGGAGCTCCGAGCACTCGGTAAGACCACCACAACAGCGGCCAACTTCATAGATGTGATTGTCATGCGCCAAATGTCTTGTGATAAGGGGCAGCGAGAAAGAGGCTCACTAAGTAACAACTCCACTAGTGATGGTAAGAAATTGGAGGGGAGAGGTGAGAAAGCTGTGGCCTGAAACCCATTTTACTTCAATATTTCTTATTTTTAGTTGCACGTTTTGGCTGTTGGCTTCATCAGCCCCCCCGAGTATGCTCATCCCGCTGCTTCTTGGTTGTTACATTATTCCAGACTTTCTTGTGTGTGTTTTAAGGATCTTCCCTTCTCCCACCCTCTTTTAGTTTTTTCCATTGCCAAGTCCTGTTTTGCAAACGTTGTTCAGTTCCTGGTATTACTTTTTACAGACAATAGCAATTTGCTAATTCTGATTTCCCCATCATTAGAAATTCCCAGGCAGTCTGTAAGGAACAGTTGTGGGTAATAAATCAAACGAGTGAAGCGGAGAACCAGGAGTGTGAGCGGGACAGGGCGGCTGGCCATCAGACATGTACCTCCCCACTCATGGTTGTACCACTGTGCGTGCTGGATCTCAGAGGGCTTCGTGGGCTGCTGCATAATGCAGCTTGGACGGGGTCCCTTCACTTAGGGTGACCTCACTCGGGGTCCCGGTGCTGGATGCTGCACAAGAGGTCAACATGGACAGAGCAGATCACAGGAACCACCTGACAGCAATCTTGTTAGGACACAAAAGCACTGGGATAAGTTTCTCCAGAAGGAAGTAGAGGGAAGGGGCTGGATTCAAGGTCTGGGGCATTCTTGACTGGACCAACCTTCACCCAGAGCATTCATCCCACCAGCAAGCAGAAGCAACAGGCAGCCCATGGGGATTTGATGGGACCCATCTTTAAGTTGAAGCCTCTGCCTTGGCCGTCAGCACTGGGAGTTGCTGCCCAGCTCCCCTTCCCCAGGGTAACCCAAGGGTGGAAAGGACACGGCAGCGTGGCCGGGGAGGAGAGCTGCTCTCACCTGCACATCCCGACCCACCCATCCCACCACTTGGTCATGTCTGGTCCCAGTCCCTTCTAGCAGCGTGCTCTGGGGCCAAGAACGCGCCTCTGGCTGTGGTGTGCTGCCTGGCTGAGCTTTTCCTCTGCCTTTTTCCCTGGCACCAGTGTTTCCTCCAGCTGAGTGTTGTCGTGCTGAGCAGAGGAGCTGCTTTTCTATGGCCGTGAGCTTACAGTAGGGAGCTGGTGTTCCTCAGGACTTAACTGTTGCTTAGGAATCTTTCCAGAGCAGGATACTTCATCTTGGGTGGAGCCAAAGCGCGGTCCCTTCAGTGCTGGCATGTGTGGGGTGACGGGGTGCTGCATCCCTGCCCTGGTGCAGGGGGGTTCTCTATGGGGGTGCTCCCCTCCCCGTGCCCCATGTATATGCAAGGTCAGAGTGTCCATGCCTGGGCACCGGGGACCCTCCAGCAGCGCTGTGGGCCACCTGCCAGATTTGCCTGCAGTTTCTAGGAATTGAGCATTAGTAGGGTAAAGGTCTGTGGAGGCAAAAGTCGTGAGTGTTACCAAACGTGCTTAGCTGGCAAGAGGCAGCGTGTGCCTCCTCCAGGACTCCACCGTCCTCTGCCCCTGGCCTGCGGAAGCACAACCCATCCATGCCTCAGTTTCCCCTCTCTGTTGAAAGGTGGTGGTGGTCCCTCATTCCAGCTCTGCCTGCTTTGATGCAGCTCGAGTTCATGCAAAGACCTTAAGAGGCAGAGAAGGTCAAGAAGCCTTTTTGCCCCTGCGGTGTGTGAGTCTGCTCTCTCCAGAGCAGCATCTGGAGTCTGCAGGGCCTTGTGCCCAATTTTCAAGTTCCTGCTCTGGGCCATGCTGGGCTTAGGGCTTTTCTTTGTAAAGCACTTGGAGACCTCTTGTTCAGCCACCTCCACTCCTGCAGGGCATTGCTTTCTCTCCTGGCATAGTGTTTTTTTTATTTTTCTGTTTCAGTAGGTGGGGAAAAGGGAGGGAACAAGTTGTGAAGCCGCAGGGGTTGAATTTGGTTCCTGACTCTTGTGCTGTCACCACAAGCTGCTGCGTGTCCAGCTCTGCAGAAATGAGACATCACCTCTACTACAGCCATCACCCCAACTGGACATCAGAGGTGGCTCTGGGGGTCCCTGCAATGTGACCTGCCAGGCTTTCCCTCATCTCTTTTTTCCCCTCTTTGCCGAACGTGTGACTACCCACAAGCAGTGGTTGCCCCAGCACTAGGGAAAAGTCAGGCGAGCTCCTGGTTTTAACTCCCTTCTCCCGTTTCCCCAGGCTTTCACGGAGGCTACAGCCCTGAGCGGATGGAAGCAGTGAGTCCCGTGAGCTCGCCCAGCCTGTCCCATGAGAAGGGGGCCAAGCTGCTGCAGGATGCAGAGAAGGGGCACGGGGAGCATGACCTGAGGCAGAAACAGCAAGGTGAGGGCAGGGGCTGGCAGTGCCAGCCGGCACTTGAGATTCATTGGTACAGGGGAGATTTGTCAGCCAGCTCTTGCTTGCTGTGGCCCAGTGCTGTGCCGGGCTGGCATTCAAGGAAGAGGGGACACAGACATCATCTCACGCCTGCTCTCTTCTTTTTGCCCTGCCCTCAAGGCTCGCTGAAGGCCTCAGCTCCCGAAGCAGCCCACCTGCAGCACCTCCGGCAGCCCGACGGCTCCCAGCCCCAGTGCCAGCCCCTGCAGTCCAGCCAGAGCATCAAGGGCATGAACCAACGGGTGGTCACGCTGGCCCAGCACATCAGTGTAATTAACCTCATCTCGCCTTCCTGATGGGGCTCCAGGGAGGAGGGAAGAGCTGATACGCAACACGTGTGGTGGGGAAGGGCTGGGAGCGATGCTGGAGACCCCAGCACCTCTGGTTGGGGGTTGGAGAGAGCAGGGTGCATCAGGCGTATTCAGCCTGGGTGTTTGCATCCCCAACAAGCCCATCATGAGAACTGCTCCAGGCAGGAGGCAGCAGTTACATCCCCACAGGGACAAACCAGCCTAGTTCCCTCCTGCTTGCCCTGTCTTAGTTGAGCCCAGCAAAGCAAGAAGTAGAAACCAACTCTCTTTCTGACTCAGGGGTTTCCTCTTCTAGGAGGTCATCACACAGGACTACACACGCCATCACCCACAGCAGCTCAACTCCCACATCCAGACCCCGGTGTACTCCTTCCCTGGGGCCACGTGCCCCGTGCTGGACCTGCGCCGAACCCCCAGCGACGCGTATCTGCAGCAGCAGGAGCATGTGGCAGCCTCCAGGATCTCCCCGCAGAATGAAGGAGGCAAAAGGTGAGGTCAGAAAGTCCAACCAAAGCTGGCACGGGTGGGTTTCTGCCCACCCGCTGAGCCAGTCTGGGTACAGACGTACAAGAGCTACCCAGGGTGAGGAGCTGGGCGGGTGCCCTTGGCTCCTCAGCACCCTGCTAAGGGGGTGCATAGGGCAGGCTGGCATTTGACATCGCTGGATTTATGCTCCCCAGCTTGGTGCTTGTGTGAATTACTTGCTTATACAGCCCAGAGTGTAAAACTGCTTTTTGATCTGAGCGTTTTTCCCCTGTGGTAGTGCCTCTTGCCATCCCTGTTGTCCTAGAGATGCTCTCCAGACCCCCTTAGAGTCCTTCCATGATCCCCTTCCCGATCTGGCTGGTGTCACAGAATAGTTTAGGTGGGAAGGGACCTCTTGAGATCATCCAGCCCATAGCCCTGCTCTCAAGCAGGATCAGCTGGAGCAGGTTGTCCTGGGTCATGGCCAGTTGGGTTTTGAGTGTCTCCACTGATGGAGACTGCAACACTTCTCTGGCCAACCTGTACCAGCGTTCAAGCACCCTCACAGTAAAACAGTGTTTTCGTTCGTTGAGATGGATTTTCATGTGATCTGGTTTGTGCCTGTTGCATTTTGTCCTGCCAGGGTCCTCAGTCCCTGGCAGGTCATGACACAGTGACCTTTCAGACCACAGATGGGTCCAAAAAACCCAAAACAACACGTTTTCCATTGGTTCAAAGGTGATTTTATCTTCATCTTTCTCAGTGAATCAGAAGCTTGCTAGACACGTCAGCTGCAACTATCCATTTCAGGCACCCCTTGTATTTCTTTTAAAGTCACTTTCAAATCCTTGTGCTGATACCAGCACAAGGCAGGTCTGATTGCTGTTGTTTGGAATTAAAAAATGGGAAGTGTGAGAACAAGCTCTGTCCTCCCACGAAAACACTGACAGAAACCCAGATGCATCCAGGGAAGAGTTGTGTCTCCAAACTGATGGTTCCTTGTCAGTAAATGTGATTATTCTTCCCAGCTCTGCCTGGGCTTTATAACATTAGGGGAGAGAGCTCAGCCCTGGCCACCCAGCAATGAAAAAAAACTGGAGGGGAGTGGGGGGAAGAGAAACCACAGAAAGAACAAAGCCATAAATTCCCAGAACTTGCCGTGAGGGATTCTTCACAGACTCGAGCCTGGCTGTCTCCCAGGCACTGGCCACAGGCAGGCATGGGGGGCTGCGTCAGTCCCCCCCGGGCTACCCCAGCGCCGGACTCATTGCCCACCAGCCAGTGAGCCCCTGCGTGGCCCCACACAAGCTGGATGGGAGGTGCCGGGTGCTGCTCTCCACTGTGTCCACAAATATGATGGAGAAGCAAAAGACATGTCCCCGAAGGGTTAACGTCACAGCCCTCCGCAGGGACTGTGTCCCTGCCAGCCAGGGATGCTTGGGCTGAGCCAGTAAGTCCCAGGACTGGTCCCACCATCCCTCCTGGGCAGCTGTATCTGGGGCGGCTGCCGGCTGGCCCACTGCCTGGAAATCTGGGCCACGTCTCAGCTCGGTCCTGCTCTGCACGCCTGCGGTGCAGAAAAATGCCCAAACTGCACTCTTCCTCCAGCTTGCGTTAAAAGGCGCCGTAAGTCCACAGGGGTGTGGAAGGTTTGGCTTTTTTCCCTGCTGTAGGAAAGCTATTTTAGTCCTTCTCCCCCCCCCCCGAGCCCCGAGCTGCTGCACAGAGGCAGAGGATGTTGCAATAAATCGATTGCATCTCCCCATCACTCTCCCCAGGTCCCCGGAGCAGAGCAAAGCCTCGGCCGGGAGCGGGTCGGACAACTGTATCGAGCCGGTGTCTCCACCAGACGGCGTGGGAGAATCGGAGCACGCCAAAAGCGCCACATACCCGCTCCTGTACCGCGAGGGCGAGCAGATAGACCAGAGGTAACGCCAAGGGAGGGCACGGTGGAGACGGCGTGGGGATGTTCCGCCCGTCCCCACGCTCGCCCTGGCCCAGGCTGCTTTTCTGGCAGCCAAAAACAATGTCACATCCCAGGTTGATGTCCGTTTGTAGGGGCTTTTCGACACCACGTGGTACGTTTATGGTAGGAAAAGGGAGAAAGGTTGGAGATCCTGAATATCTCAGGAGCACGGGGGTTGATTCTGAGAAGTTACACTAAGGGAAGAGTCTCTCTAGGTAGGACTTTGCGAATGGGACACTGCAGAGGTTTCTGACAGTCTTTTGCTTTGCAGGATGGGGTCCAAGTCCCCAGGAAACAACACTCAGCCTCCAGCTTTCTTCAGCAAGCTGACTGAAAGCAACTCTGCCATGGTGAAGTCCAAGAAACAGGAGATCATCAAGAAGCTCAGCACGACCAATAAAAATGAAACGGAGTACAGTAAGGACATGTGGGGAGGCGAATGTGGGGCACCGGGTGGAAAAAAGCCTTGGGAACACAAGGGAGATGTGGGAATGGGTGCTGCTGTGTTAAGGGCTGGGAGCTCCCAGCCAGCTCTCTCTGCGTCGTGCCGTGCTCTGTTGGGAAGTGCAAGGTCCCCACGCTTCCTGGGATGAGCTGCGCTGGTGCCAGCCGTGGCTGTGTGCGTCTGGGGAGGCGATGGGAGGCTTCCCAGCCCCGCGTCTCCTTGCTCTGGGGCTGTCAATCCCACCCGCGCCAGATAACCTCGATAGGAAGGGAATAATGAGCTGAGCATGGAGGAGGCTTGATGAGCAATTGATATTTTAATGAATGGCCAGCCAAGCTGAATCCTTCCTCCTTGAGATGCATCTCCCCCCAGTGTTACTTTAAGCCCTACATCAATATTGGTATAGCTCTGTAAAACTAACCAGGCTAGCTTATATTAGAAATTCAGCCCATTCATTCATTAACCGCTAATAGAGTAGATGGGATCATAATTTAATTTAGCCCAGCATTATACAGTCAGTACTAATTCAATTTGAATCCATCTTACAACAGCTGCATCAGATAAGAGGGACCGAGCTGTCTCGCCTTCTGGATGGTGTTACCATGAGCCAACAGTATTGTTGTACCCCTTTGGGGACATGTGGCTGAACCCCGTGACCTTCCACACTTTCCCTTATCAAGAAAAAATATATAGAAATAGGAAACGCCTCTTATTTCATGAGAATTTATGTTATTCTAAGGAAAGCGATATCCAAGTCAAACAGCTCAGCTAAGAGGGAAAATATTGATTTAACATTTCTCCTCCTCCTCCTCACCCTCCCCGCTGCCCAGACCTGCTCCCTGGGTGTGGGGGGTTGAGCCTTTGGAAATCCCGTAGGCAGGAGAAGAGGGTTTGACTTCACGGAGCTTGAAACCCGAAGGGCTGGAGGGAGGGAGGTGAGCACGAAGGCATCTCGCTGGCTCTCTGAGCTCCGCTTTTCTGCCCTTTCCCAGCTGGCGAGGTGCGCCCGCTGTGGATGTCCCAGAGGCAATTATTCCTGGTCCCCGCCAGCACCCCCGTGCCTGGGGGAGGTGGGCTGCTGTCAGGCTGAGTGCCCTGACAGGGACACCGGGATCTTGTCGTGGCTGGCACAGCAGGTCCCTCCCAACCTTCACATGCTGCTCTCCCTACTGAAGAGCTTCTTTGTTTTTCTCCAGATGTTGGGCAGCCTGGGACAGAGATTTTCAATATGCCGGCGATTACAGGAGCAGGTAACTCTCCCACATACCTGTACCATACCTCATTCCCTCCAGGGCTCACAGCCGTGGAGAGCAGGAGACTCGGTAGATTTAAGCATTTTTCCTTTTACCATAAGACCAAGTGTAACAGTGGCTGGGAGGCTGAAGCCTCGGGACTCACCGTAACTCCCTGCTGTTGAGTTGGATACAGTGCAGTGTAATTCCTCGGAAAGCCTGGCAGAATTCAAGGAGAGGTTAAAAGTCAAGCAAGGGTTGGTCATCTGATGCCAACAGAGGGTTAAACCATAGTAAGGTGGACCTCACGCTGGGGAGAGAGCACCCTGCTCTTGGTGGGACCTTGTGCTCACCTGTGGAGGGGTAGGAGGGCAGCGGCGAAAGGGAACGTGAGGGTGGGAAGCAGGCTGTGTGCCACCGCCGGCCGGGCACCAGCAGGAGCCGGTTGCAAAAGCAAACTGGGGTGAGAGCAGCACCCCAGTGCCTTGAACGGAGAGCGCTGGGCAACCTGGCGACGGCTGAGCACCGAGAGGAGGTGTTAGCGGGGAGATGGAGGCGTGCTCGGGCACAGGGGTGCCGGCAGCGTGCTTAAAGTGGGGGTTGACTCCGGTTTCTCAGGAGCTGGGAGGCAACGTTCAGGTGGTGGCTGGTCTGGCTGTGGTGGTGCCGCTGGTGCCACGGAGAAGGGCTTTGCGGGCAGGACCGCTTGGGCCTCGGCGGCGCGTGGCGGGGTTCAGGCTGATCGCCTGGTTCTGGAGGAGCAGGGGTTTTTTTGGTGGTGGTGGCATCTGAGCGCGGCCGCAGGCAGCCACGGTGGGCTTTAGCGAGTCCCCAGCCCTAACCAGCATTAACCCGCCGGCCTGCCTAACCGGGGGTTCGCTGGCTAACACCTGGGACTGCACCCCGGCCCCCAAAGAGCCCCCCTGCTCTCAGGGACAAAAGGTGCCTGGAAGGGCTCGGGGATGGTCCCCCAGACACCCATGGAGATATACTTGCCGTGCTGAGCCTGAGGACCACCACACAGGAGCTGAAATGGTGGTTTAGGAGCTTCCCCGGGGGGCACTGCGCCCTCCGCAGCTCTGCTGGGCCCTCAGCTTTCAGCCCAGCTGGGAAAAGAGGGGAAGGGAACAGCTTAAGGAAGGGATTTGGGCAAAGAAGGGTGGAAAGTGGCTCCATGGAGTTTGGTGGCCAACACGGGCTTCCCCAGTGTAGGGCAGAGACCAGCCCGAGGGAGAAAGATGGCGTGAAGGCTGTGGAGCTGTTGCCGCCTGCTGCAGCAATGCCCAGGTGGGCTCTCAAATTAATTAAACAAATCCCCATTGAGGAGTATTAATGGTTACTTAATTGATTAAGTATTAATTCTGTCCTACAGCAGGAATGCCTTCAGGTTGTTAGTTTTAAGTAGGAGGAAAGGCAGCTTTCCCACAACCAAGGGCAGGAGGTGCTGTAGGCAAGGTTGTGGGGTAGGAGGGCCAAGCACAGTAGTCAGTGGTGTAAGACTGCTCACCGGTGCAAATGTGTTTGGGAGAAGGATCCGGCTCATGCTGGCAGCTGGGATGAGAGGGTGCAGCCAGGTGGAACCTGCAGGTCCACAGCAGACAAAATAGGGGGGGGGGGGGGTGAGGCCCAACCTCCTGAGAGCATCCCCTGATTAAAGCTGCTCCTGCTGTGCTGGAGGGAGGTGTAAAGGCAGAGCGTAGGGAAGGGACCGGGAGAGACCCTGCCCGTTCAGAGGAAGACAAGCAGACCCAGGAGCTGTCCCTTTCTGAGCAGAGGGGCAGCGATGCCAGCACGAACACCCCAGGGGATGGGGTGAGCTGGGGATAACGGGGGGGGGGGGAGTGCTGCCAGTGGGGCTTCCCTCGCCAGCCTGCTGTTTTTGTCTCTGTATTTTGCCCTTGCTTGTTCCCTGTAACCGCCACACTGGGAATGACGGTGGCGTGGCTGAGCCTAGTGCCCTCTGGTCCCTGTGCGGTGCTGCACCATAACTGCATGGCTTGAGACTCACAACCACGCGGACACACCACTTCGCCTCTGCATCCTGTCCCGTCGCCCTGGCTCAGCCCGGGAGGGGGCCCTGGCCCGCAGCGGGCACCCGGCCCCGCGGGGAGGAGGGGAGCGGGGCTGGGGCAGTGGGCAGGGGGCTTGCAAAGAGCGCGAGGAGGGACAAAAGGACTCTCCCCTCTCCCCAGCGTAGCCCAACCCCGCGCAGGCAGCCCCGCAGCCTGCCTGCCCTCGGCCGGGGGCTGCCTGCATTTGCCACTCCTCACCCCAGGGCCAGATCCGGGGATCTCTTTCCAATCAAGCGTTTTGGTGGGGTGCCCCATCTTCCTTCCCGCACTTTTCCTCCCTGGGAAACTGCCCCAGCCTCCAAATTCCTGGCACACCACCTTCCGATCTGTGTGCGCATCCGTATGGACCCCACGGCCAGGTGACTCCTGCCCCCATGCCGAGCCTGGCTGGGCTGGGAGCGCAGCTCCCCCCACTTCTTGCAGTCACACCCTTACCCCCCCCCCACCGTCATCCTCCAAGCCCTTGGCCCCAGGGAACCCCAGGGAACCCTGCCTGCCTGCAGCGCCCCAGAAACCCAGATCCCAGAGGAAGTCCCATCCCATCCCACCACCAGCCCCTGCCAAGCCCTGGGGCGGGATGGAGTGGGGAGGAGGAGGACGGGTGCATCGCAGCGCTTTAAAGAACAAGATGACAAAGTTTGTTGCTTTGCGAGAATGTGCTGACTGTTTGTTTCTTCCCTTCTCCCTTGTCTCCTTTCTCCCCTTTTCCCCGTCCCCCCCATCTTTCTTCTCATTTGGCTCCCCCCCATCTCCCGTCCCCTCTCTCCTCCCTCTCCCGTATCTCCCAGGGCTAATCAGTTGTAGGAGCCAGTCGGTCCAAGAGAATTCCAGTACCAACATGGGGTTGGAGGCAATAATTAGGAAAGCCCTAATGGGTAAATATGACGAGCAGTGGGAAGAGCGCTCACCTCTCAGTGCCAATGCTTTTAACTCTCTGAATGCCAGTGCAAGCCTGCCCGCTGCTATGCCCATAACTCCTGCTGATGGACGAAACGAGGACGTGCGCTCCTTGCCAGGTCTGCAGCCCTCTCCACCTTCGCTCTCTCTGTGTTATTAATTCTCAGCCTTTATATTTCCCCTTTTGTGGGTGGATTTATTCCTCCCCTGCCCCCATTTTTGTTCATTTTAGTTTTCTTTTCTCCCCTCCCTCCCCCAGCTTCGAGCTTTGTGAATCCGCTGATTAATCCTGGTCTTGTTTGATGTTAATTTAATAGTCTCAGAAGGTGCTGTTGCTTTCTCTAAACCACTGACTGTGCTCCTTTCCCTGTTTGTTGGTTTTTAATATCTTCTTTTCCTTTTTGTTTGTTTTTTTTTTTTCTTTACACAATGGAAAGGTTTATGGGGGAAAAAAAAAACCCACACCAAAAGACCATAAACTTAAAACACCAAAGCCAGAAACTTAAATAGCCACCCCAAACTGTCTGTAAACCCCGGGTGGGATCGCTGCTCCCAAGTAGGGGAAGGAGCTGAGAGGGGCCAGTGCGGGGGGGACATGGGGCAGGGTGACCTTTCCCTCCCCACCCCAGGCTCGGGGGGTGTCAGGGCAGCCTCCGGCCTGGGACAGAGGGTTGGATGGGACCTGGGGGTGCCCAGAGCGAGAGTGAGAGCTTAAGGGAGCTGAAGTGGTGGATGGGGGATGACTCCAGAGAGTAGGGCAGGGGGGAGCTGCCCCGGCGGGGCTTGCAAAGCCAGCTGGGTGCCGTGGCAGGGTCTGCCCAGCTTCAGGGGAGGCTTGAGCAGAGCGGGGGGGGGATTGTTCTGCAGATCCCCAGCTAGGGAAGGGAGGAGGGGGACCAGGGATGGATGGGGGAGAGTATTTGACCCCAGCGCCCTGCTCAGAGCACGGCAGCCGGTGCCCCGAAGCTGAGGAGGGGGATCCTGGGGGCACACAGGCACCTTCCCCTGGGTCAGCTCGGACCAGGCGCTCTTCACCTTGTTGCAGAAAAGCTTTTCTGGCTCCTGCATGAAACCAGCAGCTTCTTCCAGCCGTGCTTCCCCATGCCTGGCAGAGGCTGCCCAGGCAGAAAGGGTGGGATGCAGAGCCCATCTCCATCCCTCCCCTTTTGGGAGCTCCCCCCTGGTTTAGTAGGGCTGACCTACCTGGCAGAGGCCGTTTGGGCTTTAAAGCTTTTAAAAACTGGCTGAACGTCACCAGAGATCGTGCTGTAGGAACAGATTAAAGACCATCTTGGCCACGTAGACTGTGGGAATGGGGAACGTGCTCGGGGGCCCCAGCACCCACGTAGCTCCCGGGGGGTTCCCTGCCAAGCACAGCAGCACGTGTTGCTCCTGTGCCACGATCCATGTTTGTGGGCTGAGCCGTGATCCGGCTCGGGAGCGGGTCCCGCAAAGAAACAGCCCGGCCAAAGCCACGGAGCTGCTCCCGACCCAGATCCGCTCCACGGGACGGTTCATAGCATCAACCCCCCCCCCCCCCCCAAAAGCGGAGCGCGGCGCAGGAGGGGACGGAAACCTCCTGGAGCCGCCGCGGCCGCCGGCCCACCCCGCTGCAGAGAGCTCGCCCCATCCCCATCGCCCTTCCCCACCCCGCTGCCAGCGACCCCCCCGGGGGTGAAGCTTTTCTCCTGCCATGAGTTGTTTTTGCAAGCTCCTAAAAGGGAAGCGCTGGGTTACCCGCACCCCTTCCCCAAGCCGCCCCCGAAGCCCGTGGCGCTGATCCGGGTGACGAGCGGGCGCTTTTCTTCGCAGGAGGAGGGGGGAAGCCAAAGATCGCTGCCAGACCCAACAGCCGCAAGGCCAAGTCCCCGGCGCCGGGTCTGTCCTCGGGCGAGCGGCCGCCCTCCGTCTCCTCGGTGCACTCGGAGGGGGACTGCAACCGGAGGACGCCCCTCACCAACCGCGTCTGGGAGGACAGGCCGTCGTCCGCAGGTAGGGCTCGGGGGGGACGTGTCCCCAAAGCGGGGGTGCCGCCCTCGCAGTGGGGGGCTGTGGGGGGGGGGGGGGGGGAAGCCAACCCCCCCCCCCCCCCTTTCTCCCTGCCCACACCCCGCCGTTGACTCTTTGCTTCTCCCTCCTCCCCGCGCAGGTTCGACGCCGTTCCCCTACAACCCGCTCACCATGCGGCTCCCCAGCGGGGTGGTGACGGCCGCCCCCGCCGCCCCCCTGCCGCAGGGGACCCCCGGCAGCCAGCACCACGCCTGGGACGAGGAGCCCAAGCCCCTGCTCTGCTCCCAGTACGAAACCCTCTCGGACAGTGAATGAAGCGAGCCAGGGGCAAGGAGACGGCGACCAAACCCCGGGGCCCGGGGAGCGAGTGGGACACCCGGGGCGAGCGCCCACCGCCCCGGCCCCCCCGGCTCTCACGAGCGAAGATGCAGGAGCAGAGCTGTTTTATTTTTTCCTTGTTTTTTTCTCCTTTCCCTCCCAGCAAGCCAATTTGGGGGAATGTGGTTTTTTGTTTTGTTTTGTTTTGTTTTTTAATTTTTGTTTTGTTTTGTTTTTTTCCTTTCTCAACATCTGGAAATTTCTGCATCCTCTTCGGTTTGATAAAAAAAAAAAAAAAAGAAAAGAAAAAAGCCTTAACAAGACAAAACCCAAGGAACCCATCTTCGATCTTGGCAGCCTTGCTGGGCGGTGACCCCTGCGCTCGAGAGGGACTGTGAGCGGCCGCGAGCGCTCGGACGCTCTGCTGGCACGCTCCCACAAAGTCGAGTGAGGGGGCTGTGCCACAGAAATGCTAAACCTTGAGCGGGTTAAAGAAGAAAAAAAAAAAAAAAAAAAGATTTAAGAAGTGAAATAGGATGGAACGCCCCAGTTTGGTTCCCCCCAGCTGATCTGAGGGCAGGTTGCCTGTCATACCTGTGTCACAAGATGTATCAGCCCCACAGCGGTCTCAAACGTGGCTGGGATGAGCGGGCAGGGGAGGGAGTGAAGAGATATTTCTTAAAAAAAAAAAAAAAAAATAAAAATAAAAAATCCTGGTCCCTTCGGTGGAAGCGATCCCGGGCTTAAATCGGAGCGGGCAGGGTTGTCCCCGGGCTGGCTCGCGCGCTGCCCATGTAGGGGCTCGGTTGCTTTAAGTGCATTGTTTTCTGAATGGTGAGAAAAGGCAATTGTAAATTGTATTGGTCTACAGGGTATATTTTTGATACCTTCAGTGAATTATGTCAATATTTTACGCAAGGAAGGACTTAAACAAAACACAGTATTACATGCTGTAAAAGAGGTTCTGTTCTTACATGCAGGCTTTGATGCGTTTGTCCATTGTATGGAAGGGTTTAAAAAAAAAAAAAAAAGGAGGTAACAATGATCCATCAAAGTTATCTGTAAGTCAGGAGAATGTATGAACTTAGTTTAAAAAAAAAAAAAAAAAAAAAAAAAAACCAAACAAACCAACAAAATCTTGCCGTGGTTGCAGGGCCCCCCGTTACACACACCTTTGCTGACTCAGCAGAAATCATTTGCTGGTTGTAGACGTTGATTCTCCAGAGCCCTCCGAGCTGGCCGGGTGCAGGGGCAGAGCGGGCAGGAGGCCGGCGTGGCAGGGAGTACACAGGAAACTTTAAAAAAAAAAAAAAAAAAAAAAAAAAGAAGAAAAAAGGAAAAAAAAAGTTTTTATTGTATTTTTGTGATACACATGAATGCTCTACTTTACATTATTTTTTTCATTCCATGATGTTGGCTCATATCTGCAGTTACATGGTTAAAGAACAAAATATTAGACTTTTTTTCATTCACTTCTGCTTTCTCGCTCTGGGGGGAAAAAAAATGGCAAAAAAAAAAAAAAAATAAAATGTATTAAATGCTTTTCATTCTATACGCTAGAGGAACCCAGAGCACGGCACAGACTTTCTGCCTCTCCGGCTGCTGGGTGGGCAGCCGGCCCCCGCGGCCGAGGCGCCGTCACCTTCCCGATGGATCTTTCTTTTCCCCCTGCGACGTTCCCAGGTTGATTCTGATTTCAAAGGAAGAGAATGATGGTGTTTGTTGTTTGTTTGGGGTTTGTTTTTGTTTTGTTTTGGTTTTTTTGGTTGGGTTTTTTTTTGTTTGTTTTTTTACAATGTACAGGTTTTTAATGTTCATCAATGTTTGTGTCTTTTCTGTTGTGCTTTTTTTTTTTTTTTTTAAAAAGAAAAAAAATCAGAGACAATGCACAAGCGATGTGGAAGTCTTTCCGTTCCCAGGTTATTGCTGCTGGTGTCTCCATGGCTCTGAGATGTAAAAACCAACAGAGCTGATGTCTGGGCATAACTCTATTACACTGTTGCAGAATTTGCTGGGAAGAAAAAAAAAAAAAAATAATAATCCAAATCCAACCCATCTTCAAAGCCACCTCCTTAATCTATTCGGAAAAATTATCAAAAAAAAATCCCCACAACGAAGAATAAAGTTCCCACTTGGCACAGTAGCAATACTGTGTGCTGCTTTGGTGTCTCCACAAGTCCGGGAAGGTGCTGGTTGCTGGTGGAAGGCGGCTGCTGGCCGGCGCCGCAGACCCGAGGCCCAGCGTGGGTTGGGATGTGGCGACGGGGGGCGAGAGAAGCGCCCGAGCTGAGCTGAGCTCCTGCCCCCCCGGGGCGGCCGCACGGAGCCTTGGCTCCCCGGCGGTAGCCGCAGCGTGCCGGGGCTGGTTTGGGTTCCTCACCCCGGGGGTGGCCGAGACATCGGGAACAGCCACGGACTCCAGCCGGGAGCTGCTGAGCCGCCTTCTCGCCACCCCGGCCCGAGCGGGGCTGGGTTGTGCCCCCCAGGAACCCCGGGCAGCATTCACCCACGGTGTGGGGTGGAGGGTGAAGAGATGGAGGTCAAGAGATGGCAGGTAAAGAGATGGAGGTAAAGGGATGGAAGGTCAAGAGATGGAGGGTGAAGAGATGGAGGATGAAGAGCTCATCCCACCCTTCAGTGCTAACCCCGTAGCTGTTGTTTCTCTTTTCCTCTCATTTCTGCCGTGTCTTTCGTGTGTGCAGGGCAAGGGGTTGGGGCTGGGCAGGAGCCCTGAAGCTCGGCTGGTGCACCAGGGCTGTGCTGCGAGGGTGTCAAAAGAGGTTTCAGGTGTTTGTTGAAGTTGTTTTAGTCCTTTCAGGGTTTGTGGCTCCGTGCTGGTGGGTGGGTGGTCGGGCAGATGTTAGCCACCGTTTTCTGGGCAGGGCGATGTTTGCTGCGGGGCTGGGGGGATGTGAAGGTGCCGGGGAGAGGCCAGTGACCCCCCAGGTGCTGTGGGGCTCCAGCAGCTCAGTGGGATCCTTTGGGATCATTTCGAGAGAGGGGAGCAGGACACATCTCTGATGTGTCCAGCTCTGTGCGAGAGCTTGGGCCCTGGCTGTGCCACGTGTCCCCGTCACGCCAGGACAGCCTGCCCTGGGCTGGGACCCGCAGCGGTGCGCGAGGGCGGCCGTGGCAGGGACACGCGTGGGTTTTGCTCCGGCAGGATCCTACTCCTGGGGAACCCTCCCCACCCCTGCAGAGAGCCCAGCCCCGCGGCTGGCCGCGGCACAGCTGGGGCTGGGCACTTTCTGTCTTGCTGCGTCTCCATCATCCGGGGTCCCCGCGCACCCCAGCAGGGACAGGGCACAGGGGGACACGCGGGGCAGCGGCAGCTCCCCTCGGGGAGCTCTGAGCCGCCTTTGCCGGAGCAGGGAGCATCCTCCTGCCGCAGATTGATTAATTTGGGTGAAATCAGTGAGTTGGCAGTGTGCCGGGCGGGAGGCCCACAGCTGCTCAGGGCGGGATGCGCCCAGGGTCTGGTGCAGGGTGGCTCCCCCCCAGTTCCCCTGCTCACACGTCGGGGGGGGGGGGGGGGGAGCATGTTTTGGGGAAAGGGGGAGCTGCTGCTCCTGCAGGTCATGATGCTCCTCCCCATCCTGCTGAGGACTGAGGCATCTCTGAGCACCCCAAAACCTTGCAGCAGGGTCCTACTGGCACCTCTTTGTGCTGCCGGCTGTGGTTGTGCAACCCAGGAGAAAGTCACATTAAACTATTAAAAAAAAAAAAAAAAAGTTAATGTTCGCCAACTTTGTAAATTGTACAAATAGGCAAAAAAACTATTGGACAATTTATCGCTTGAACTGTACCAGAGGGAAATATCTATCTTTTGTACAACCTGTGCATAGCTGTTTTGAAGTGAGTTGTATGATAGCCGGGGCTATACAGAGAAACCACCAGGTGTAAATATTTCCGCAGCTTGCTCTAGAGCGGTGGGGTTCTTCTAATAAAGGTGAAGGGGTTTGTTCACTGTTATTTTGCTCGGCGTGCCCACCAGCAAGCGGTGTGGGTAGCAGTGTCCAAACACTGCCTTACTGGTCAAATAAAAAACCAAACAAACCAACCCAAACAAAAAAGCTTATTTGGCAGCAAAATACAGCGCGCTCTTGCCTGCTTGTGTGCGTGAGTCCAGGCAGGACGGGCTGCTTGCTGGGCAGCTGAATCGGGAGTGGGATGGTGAGGGGAGCGTGGGGCGGATTGGGGACCCCCCAGCTGGTGGGGCACTGGTGGGGGGTGTCTCTGGCAAAATGGGCTGAGAAAGAGGGGAAAAGGGTGGGTGGCAGCGGTGGCCCGAGGCGTGCGGCTCGCCTATATCAGGGGTGGCCGATACGGTCCCCGGCATCGTTGCCGGGCTGGTCCAAGCCTGCGAGCCCACTGGCTGCACCGTGACCCCCCCGTGGCACCGCAGGCAATGGGGACGGGGCTGCTTGGGGGCACCTTGGCACGGGATGGGTTTGCTGGCTGAAGCGCATCGGGACATCGCACCCTAAAGCTCGGAGGGTCGGTGCTCTGGCCAAGGTGCAGCCTCCTTCCTTGTCTCAGTTTCCCCCTCTGCAGGCAGGGCTCACACCCCTGCGCTGCTTTTTAACCAACCAATGGCCAAGAGCTGCTTAAGCACAGTGTTTTTATTGACTGTGCTCACCGAGGGATGCTAGTGGCATCCAAGGACAGCTGTGGGACCGTGCACCCCTCAGCTAAATGCCCCTAAACGCACTACCTGCATCTCTGCCAGCATCGCACAGGGGTAATGCTGGAGGGCACCTTGGACCAGCAGCCAAGGAAAACATTGTTCAGCTCTGATTGAATTTAAAAATTGAATTTAAATTGGATTTCATTTATATATATATATATTCTGGCAACAGGTAATACCTCATAAGACTTGTAGGAAAGTATTGGGGAGGCTAATTAGCCACCACCCAAATAAGAACTGAAACAGAAGCCTTGGTATCTGTTCACAGGTCTAAATTGCTTTATCTGAGACATCTGTCCCATGGGGTGCAGTTGACTTTGTCTGGGGCCATTGGTCCCCAAGTTCCCCTCCCATGTCTGCACCTACAGGGCTGGTGCCATGGGGGTCAGGGGCTGGGGGACAGTGATGAATGGGGGGACAGCGACCTGAGTGGTATGGCTCTGCGTAAGGACAACTTGGATGACACTATGGCATTTAATCCATTGAAGGGCTGTTAGTTGGTTTTCCACTTGGGGGCCTTCTGCTGCCTTTCCTGGGGCTCAGAAATTGATTTTACACACCAGACGTTTTCCTGAGAGCAGCAATGAGCATTTCTGCCAGGGCGTACCCCTACCTTCTGCCAGCTCGGCGTTTCAGGCGGTCACCCCGAGCCGAGCTGCTGCAAGTCCTGGAGGAAGGCTCCCCAGTGCTACATGACTTGTTCGTCTGTCCAAGGGATGTCCAAAAGGCTCCTGTCTCCGTGCTGGTAAAGGATCACCCCGGGTCCTTGGTATCACCCAGACACCATCTGAAATCCCTCCAGGTATGTACCCACACCAACCAAACCTCCTCCGGTCTCTGCACGCTCCTCCAGCAACCAGGTCCCATGGTGATTCACCGGCTAGCTCTTAAAAAATCAGTCTAAATATTGCTGAGACCAGTGATTTTGTTGAAATCCTTGGAAAGGCTTTTGCCTCTATGAAGGCAATTAGAATAAGTTAATAAATAGTACAAACAGAAGCCAAGCTGTTCAGCCTCTCGCATCAGGGTTTAACTGCTGATGAGGGCTGACAGCGGTAGCTCTGGTCAATAATTCACACTGATGCTGAAGAAACAGAAGGTGGGAAAACTCTAAATGCAAGGCCAACACTTACGATATAATGATGGAAAACTTTAGGTCTACTTGAAAAGCTCTTACATAAAAAGATGAAAGAGAAATGGGACAAAAGCAGATGGCTTCAAAAACCATCAATAAAAAAAAAAAAACACCAGAAGTCCAGATTTACTCATATTTTGAGTGGGTGGCAAGCAGGGGGTTTTGAAGGAGAAAGGGATGATAAAAGATGGTCCCAGACGCTTTTACCCTGGAGAGAGGCTGGGAAGGCTCAGGGGCATTGCAACCTTCTCCTGGTGATGAATTGGTGTTTAGTTAGAGAGGAAGATTTTTTAGCTAGTCTAGGCTGAGTTATAAGAACAAGGAGGAATGGGCACAAGACCAGGTTTGTCCTTGCTGCATGTGCCCTGCGGGTGACAGGGAGGGAAGAGGGATGGCTCTGTGGTACCCAGCGATAAGCAGGGTAGGATATAAAAAAAAAAAAAAAAAAATAGGTGCTAAAACACACCAGAATGCAAAAGCCGTGTGCTGGTAGCACCCAGGCCTGTGCCCTGCCCAGAAAGGCAGCTACACACCAGCCCCCAGCAAAGCTGGGCTCTTCAGCTGAGCAGCTGAACGGGTCAGACGTGCCTTTGGCCAGGAGATCCAGTAACCGTTCCTGGGCTACTTACAGCAGGAAGCATTTTATACTCTCCTGACAATTGCAATCCAAATAGTCATTCATCAGTTCTTGTGATTTGCCGTGAAATTATATATGCTCTCTGATAATGATGCAGAGGGCTAAAGAGCTGATCTTGGCAGGAGATGAGACGTTCTAGGCTGGCAAGTAACTTGGAAGGAAAATAGAGCAGCTTTTGATGGGATGCCTGGCTCTTATCAGCATTGGGACACTGAAGGGCGTTGGGCAGGGATGTTTTGGCTGGCTGAGCTCTTCCTGGCTTGCGTGCCCATTTGGGAAGAGCGGGGTCCATAAGAAACTTGGGAATGAGTGTCACTGTGTGTGTGTGGATTAACGGCTGAATTAATTGTCAGGTTTATTTATTCTCTCATTTTTGGCCTCCTGTAATTACCGAAATGAGTATTTGTCAGGACTCCAGGCAGCAGAGTGGTAATAAATCACTTGCCACCAACAGGAGTTTGGAGTGGTTGTGTCTGGAGCAAGCTGAGATTGGTGTCAGCTTTAGTGAAGTGCAAGTGCTCTCAGGGGAGCTGGTGGGCCAGTGCACAAACAAGCAAACAAAAAAAAAAAAAAACAAAAAAAAACAAAAAAACAGCTTTGCAGAAATGCCCTGAAATAAAATCCCTGGACTCACAGTTCTCCAGCTTGGAGCTGCAGTTTTCTCAGCGGTTGTGAGGAGGAACC